TTCTCCAGGTCATCGTCCCAGACCTCGGTGATCCCGTAAGCGCTGGCCTCGTCGGGGTCGTCCATCCCGAACCAGCTGGCCATGCGCCAGTTGTCGAACTGGTAGAAGCCGCCCACCACGTCCAGGGAGCTCCCGGAGAATGGAAGGGAGAACAGGCCCCCCTTCCCCTTCAAGAGCTCAGCCTCCTCCTCGCAGCTCAGCTCGGCGTCGGCAACAACAGAGAGCTCCGACAGGCTGAGGTCGGCGTCCGCCAGAGCCGCGATCGCGCCCAGGTCGATGCGAGGTGGAACCCTGCACTTTTCATTGGTGGCCCGAGCATCCACAATAAGACGGGTCATCCCAGTCTTCTTCCAGACGAAGAAAATCGATACCCTCGAGAAGATGCGGCGCCTGAAGGTGAGGAGCTGGTGCTTGTACAGGTTGGCGAACAGCTCGCGTCGGCTCTTCTTAGAGCGCCGAAGGTCCGGGCACCAGTACGGAGTGACAGACGCGCCTCCCAGTCGGTCTGCCCCCAGCTCAGCGCCACTCTTCAAGATGTGTTTCCGGAATTCCGCGGCCAGCCGCAGCGCAGCCGGGGGGGCGCAGACTCGAGAGGCAAAGGAAAAGTAGCGCCCTTCGTCACCTTCAGCTCAGGAAGGTAGGGCGCCATGTGCTGTGGCTCCTGAGTGTGCAAGTCTTTCGCTTTGCAAACTTCTTTGAGCGCGTCGAGCGGGGCCAGGTCACGCGGCCGGTCGCCGTGCAGGCTGATGCGGTCATCAAGCGAACTCAATATCGACACCTGAGAAGAAGTAAACCTGCCCTGGCTACCCTCGTAAAGGCTGCCCTTGTCTGAACATACTCTGGTGCGATACAAGAAATTGAGCGAGCGGACGGCCTCCAAAAGACGCTGGTCTTGATGTCCTGCACGTCCACGCACTCCTCGCCACCGGCGTCCGGAGCCCCCGAAGGAGCCCTTCGCCGAGCGGACAGGCAGAGGAAAGGGGTCGCCATGCCGCCGACCGCGGTCGCCCCGACCACGGCGAACAAAACTCGGAGCTCGAGGCAACAGACCGGAAGCTCCTACCTGTAGAAGAGAAAGGGCAGCGCCGATGACCAGGCACTCACCAGCGCCTCGCCCCTTGGGAGCCTCAGCCCCCGTTGTTCTGACTTCTGACCAGAGTCGGCGGCCCTAGACTTGCCGCCGCCCGTGGGCCCCTTGGGACCCCTGCCACACTTCGTCTCGTCGGCCTGCCTCTCCTCGCGAAGCAGTCGGGACTGCCTGAGCGCGAAGGCACCCTGGTGCCGCTTCTCCGCAACCCACTTGGTGAACTTCGGAACGGTGAGACTCCCCCTGTCCTCGGTGGAGCCCGCCAACCTGTAGCCGAGCCCGCTGTAGTCCGGGCGCCTGGCGCTCTTCTCCACGGTGAGCTCGTGCTGGATGAGCCACCTGACAGGCTGCTCGCCCATGGCCGAGTTTGCCAGGTTGATCTGATGGTACGCGAGTCCCAACCGCAGCGCCTCCAGGATGATACGGTGATCAAGGGCGATACCGCTGTTCGGCGAGACTCCCGACACCCCACACCAGCTCTGATGGTGGATGTCGAACGAGCCGTCGGTGGTCTCGAGAGTGCCATCCAGGTACTCCTTGGCGGCGCGGGGGTCACCGAAGGGGCAGCCGTCGAGCTTGGTCTCCTCAAGACCCTCGACGGCATCCTTGGCCTGCAGGATACGCTTGTCTCCCGCGGTGCGGTAATTGCCCAGCAGCCGAAGATCTCCCCCTCCCTCGGCTCTGCTCTTCCACTCGAACAGGTCGTTGAAGTTGAACCTCGAAACATGAGCCTCCGTGCTCGCGTCGTTCGCACCCAGTTGGCCCACCCCCGTGGTCTCCCGCAGCAGGGCCCGCGTAGCGTCGTCCAAGATGCCTGGCTCCACCTGCTCACCGAAGCAAGGATGCGACGGGTCGCTGACGACCCCGATCTCGTCGGCATCCACCTCGATGTCTTCTCCTGAAATGTCGACCAGCACCTTGGCTCGGGCGATGGCCTCGCCGAGCTCCCGCACAAGGATTGGATCGAGTAGGAAGCAGTCCTGGCGACAGCGGTCTGGCATGGGCCGGCCTCTTGCCAGCAGCTCGAACCGAACCGCCGCCGTGTCCAAAACCTGCAGCTCGTGCGTGGGCGCGAGGACGACCCAGTGGTCAGCTGAGATACGAACCGACCAGCTTCTGTGATGCCACGTGAAGCTCGAATCATCTGCATATCGAACCAAGTCTCGCCTCTCACTGATACCAAAAACGCTCATGATCTATCGGCGAGCCGCAACGACGATAGCGTGACTGGCCCGTTGCGCCCACGAAAGGTCTGCTCAGAAACCGATGACGAGGAGGAAGTTGATGAGACTCGACGACCAGCGCACCGTCCGATCAAGAGCCCCACGATGAAACTCAGCAGGCTCAAACTGAACACAAGGCTCACACACAGATGAATCGTAATGGTCGAACTCAACTGCTTCTGCACCCCCTCGAGCTGACGAGACAGGATCCTCTCGATGTGGTGGCACCCTCCAGTCTCCGAGGCAGCCTCACACTGAGAGGCCCCTTCGAAATGACAGTGGCAAGTCGGTTCCCGCGTCGGGGCGTTGAGCGCAATCACGTCGCGCACCACTGAGTATAGGAAGTGCAACTTGTCTTGCGGAAGGGAGAACGTGCTGTCTCTCAAAGCGGCCCTGGCGGGCCTACCCGAGCAGAAAAAGGGTGGCTGCGGACGCGACCTGTTAGGGGTCACGAGTGTCCGAAGGCCTCCCCTCCTGTGGAAAACGCGTACGAACTCACATACATACATACATGCATGGATGCATGCATGCATGCATGCATACATATTTACATAACATACGTACGCACAGACGTACATCCATATGCACATTAATACATGTCATACATATATACAAGACTGCATTGGCGCTTCGCGCCATGCACCTTGGTCCTTTAAGTTGGGCCTGCGGACGGAATGAGAACAACATATATTCATTAAAAACCAAATATAACTCCATGTTTCCGCTTCCGTCGGCGTCGTTACAATATATGATCCTGGGCTCCGGGCCCACGGCCCCCCCCCCAGATGGTATGGTCCCAGGATTCCTCGCCCCCCCCCCCAGATGGTATGGTCCCAGAGACGACGACGACGACGACGACGACGACGACGACGACGACGACGACGACGACGACCACGACGACGACGACGACGACGACGGCTGCGGCGGCGACGACGCCGGCGGCGGCGGCGGCGGCGACGACGACGATGACGACGATGGCGACGGCGACGACGACGACGACGACGACGAGGACGACGAGGACCACGAGGACGACGAGAACGACGACGACGACGACGACGACGACGACCTCTGAACCACCACAGCACCACACCACATTCACGGGGGGGGGAGGGGGGCACCGCAGCGCAGCACCACGCCACGCCCACCTCTGAACCACAACAGCACCACACCACATTCACAGGGGGGGGAGGGGGGCACCGCAGCGCAGCACCACGCCACGCCCACAGGGGGGGGCGGGGGGGACCATCGCGCGGGGGGGGGGGGCCAATGGCATCAGCATTGGGGGGGGGGGGCCCAAGCCCTGGACCATATATGTGTGTTTGTGCAATTTTTTCTCGCGGAGGCTCCTCCTCGGAAAATCTTTTGAGGGGCTCGCGTAACCTTTTTATAAGCATCTCGGGGGCTTCTGGGGGCCCCCTGGGCGCTTTGAGGGAGCCTCTGGGGGCTTTCTCGGGCCACCTTGCTGCGAACGGCGGTCTCCCTCAACGGTCGGGTCACGATTTGGAATGCTTCTGGGGGCTTCTGGGGGCCACCTTGGGCCGTCATGGGCCTCTCTGCGGGTCATCTTAGGGCCCTGTTGGGCCGTCTTGGAGCTCTTTCGAAGTGTCCGCAGCTCCACTCGATTGCTTTGGGATGTTTTTCGGGGTCTCCTGGCCATTCTCAGGCGCCCAGATGACCGAAGAATCGAGCATCCCAAAATCATACAACAATCATGTGAATATCACTGCTTTTTGCGTTTGGATGGCTTCTTGGGGGTGTTCTTTGGGTCGTCGTCAGGCTTGGGACCGCTGGCTGGGCCCGGAAAGGATGAGGGCGACCTACAACGCTCCGCAAAATCAAACGCAAGCTTGCATCCAACCCCCTCGCCCCCAAAAAATCAATATTCAGTCACGCGCGCAACGTGGACTGCAGGGTCTAAGAAAAAAAATCAGTCGCCAATTTCGGCGCGAACATTGACATTGGGGGTCCGGGGGCGCTACCACGTCGCGGGAAAAGCCTTGAATTTGATTCCGTGGAGGGACGTAAGATCCGGAGTGTCCGGCTTTGGCAGGGCGGTCCCATTGAGCGATCTTGGACGCCTCTTGTGCCACCTTGGGGCGTTGAAAGCCAGAATCGGCGAGATTGTCGAATGGAATAGCCAAACAAGAAATGCATGACTTTTGCGCCTGGAAGCCTCTTGGAGGTCCACTTGGAACCTTCGTGGGCCGTTTTCGAGGCCTCTTGTGCCGTCTTGCGGCCATCTTGCGCGTTTCGGAGCGCCCGTGGGCGTTGTCGGAGCCTTCTTGGGCCGTCTAGTCTTGAAGAAATGGTCAGCGCCTATTGGACCGTCCTGGAGCGACGGAAGCCCGAAAAGGCGAGAAGGAACATGGCAAAACCTCAGATGGAAATCATTAAATCTTGCGTCTGTGGGCCTTCTTGGGGTCCTCTTGGAACTCTCTTGGGGCGACTTGGGGGGCCTGGTGGGCCGTCTTCAAAGCATCTTGGGCGTTGTGGAACGCTCTTGGGCCGTCTCGGAGCCCTGTTGGACCGTCTTGGGAGCCTCGTGGGACTGGCGCCGACCAATTTGCACGGCTCGGCAAGGAATCCCAGAGGCCCGGAAGTCCCGGGTGACTCTTCCTAGGGGCGTCAAGGAGGCCCCCAGGGCCAGAGATCCAGGGAGTCTTTTTTTGTACGGGCACGTTTTCCACAGGGCCAGGATTAAGAGAACGACAGTCTACAACGTGGCAACCATCGAGCAACGAGTCCGTCAGCGGCGGGGCCGGCGGCAGAAGGCGAGGCCATGCAGATTCCGAAGATTCCCCACACATTCATTGTTCCGCACATGATAACCACTTGCGCATCCTTGCTGGGAGCATTGATCAACGCCTTTGGATCTTGAGCCATGCTTGCATTTAACGCATCCAGGTATGGAGCATTTGCGACACACTCTTCGGTCCCTGTCCGCGATGCTCATCTCTGAAACGTCCCACCCGCAGCCCCACTTTGGCACGCACCTGAACCAACAGCCAGCGCGCTCAGGACCACTGATTGATAAGAAAGGGCATTCAGCTCTGTTGCACAACTCTGTGTAATTCGCTCTTGAAATGTTTGCTGGGATTTGCTGCCAAGCCAAACAATTACCTATGTTCCATTTGCACCTGTCTCGGAAATCATGACAGCAATTCTTGTACTTGACGCACTTTGGGTTGCATTGGCAAGATACTGATTTGTCGTAGCCGTGGCACCCATTGTCGATGCAACTTCCTGCCGTGTCGGGCAGAAGATCCGCTAGCCGCCTTGGGGCCGCCAAGCTGCGAAAATTGATGCCGGACATCTGTCTCTGGCATTCCCTGACTAGGCCTGGCCGGAGGCTCCTCACCGTCTGCTCAACTAGTCATCCCTCCAGCGTGTGGACACTTTCACGGCAGTCGTCTGACAATCATCACCCGCGACCGCCAAGGCGAATGAGACATTTCTCTCGAGCTTTGCAGACCCAGACCCCCGACGTCGTGAGAAACTCACGACGTCGGCCCCCCGAAATCTGGAGACCTTCCCTGGGACCCGTTTTTCATCCCGGGTGGTTTTTTGACGCTCCCGAGGCCCGGCGGGGGCCTCCAGAGGCCGCAAATTATCGAAAACCTTCGCCGTGAGTTTCTCGCGACGTCGGAGGTCTGGGGAAATCCCTCCTCCCACGTGTCGACGCCGACCCGCGAGATCCCTGTCCTCCCGGACGTGGGGTGCCGCACCGAGGCCAAACGCTGACACGCAGGGGGTGGGGACCGCGCGTCGTGGTGGTGTCGCAGTCTAGGTTCAGGTCGGGCGCGTCCCCCCACAGGGGGCTTTCCGGCGACAAATAAGACATGCTCAACAAATACCCAAAATATGCCCCAAAATGCTCAAACAATAGTCCCCAAACTATATGTTTTTTAATGAAAAAAAACTTTGTTTGAATATTCCCCCTGTAGAGGGACAGGCCCGACTTAAGTCCAGGTCCACGCGGTCACAGCTAACTTGCATCGTTTCGTCCTCCCACCGTCCCTCACAACAAGGTGCCCCGGGCAGGTGCCCCCCCCCGCCGTGCCCTCCCCGGACGGAGCCTCGCGAGCGTGCCGCCCCGCGCCTGGCGCACGTCGTGCTGCCCAGCGCCGCGGATGCCACGACGACGGACATCCTAACAGTCCGATCATTGAATTTAACATGTGTTTAAAAAGCCAGGAAATGTTCTAAGCATGTCTTAAAGATATTTTGTACATGTTCGAAAATGATTCACACATCTGGAAATAACTTGGCAACATGCTTCCTCTCCACTGATCGTCCTCCACAGTGCTAGCGCTGCTGCCGAGGAACGCCGACGTACTCTGCTAAGTATTCAAGAGATGATGATAGTCTTCTCTATGTTTTCGAACTGTTGGCTGGCTGTGGAGCTGAGAAGCACTTTTCGAAACAAAAGGTCATTGATTTTCTTTAGGTTTTTGAAGGATTTTGACATTTGCTTCCTTTCGGCCTTCCGACGGCCCGAGACGGCCCAAGAGCCCTGCCCCCAAAGATCGCCCAAAGATCGCCCAAGAGGCCTCCAAGATGGCCCCAGAACGGCCCTAGAGGCCCCCAAGACGGCCCCAAGAGGCCCCCAAGACGGCACAGGAGGCTTGTAAGACGCCCAAGATTGGCCTCCAAGACGGCCCTGGAGCATTCCAAGAGGGCCCCAAGTCGGCCCAAGGAGGCCCCCCAAACGGCTTCCGACGGCATCAGACGGGCCAGGAGCCCACCAAGACGGCCGAAGATGGCCCTAAGATGGCCCAAGACGGCCCAAGAGGCCTCCAAGAGGGCCTCCAGGAAGGCCCGACAAGGCCAAAAACACTGATGTTCCGTGGGTCGAAGGATTTTGACATTTGCTTCTTTTCTGCCTTCCGACGGCCCGAGATAGCCCAAGAGCCCCCAAAGATCGCCCAAGAGGTCTCCAGTATGGTCCCAAAACGGCCCAAGAGGCTCCCAAGACGGCCCCAAGAGGCCCCCTAGACGGCCAAAGAGGCCTCCAAGACGCTCAAGATGGCCTCCAAGACGGCCCTGGAGCACCCCAAGAAAGGCCCAAGTCGGCCCAGCCTCGCCCACCGTGTTCTCCGAACGCTTTCCAAACCGATTCGGGGAACACATGATCCGATAGCTTGGCAGGCCTCTGGCCACAACGTTCGGCCACGTAGGCGTTTCCAAAAAGGCAGGGGGCGGCGGTGATTCGCCGTAGGCGTCTTCGAGACCATCTTGGGCCGTCTTGGAGCCATCTGGGGCAAAGAAAACCTTTGCAACCAAGTTTTGAGATCCTTTCCGGGTGGCCGGCAAGACGGACCGACGCCCCAGGGGGATAGTTTGGCACGCCGGGCACCCCTTTGATAAATCAAAAGGGGCGGCCCTAGAGGCCCCCAAGACGGCCCCAAGGGGCCCCCAAGACGGCCCAGGAGGCCTTTTAAGACGCCCAATATGGCCTCCAAGACGGCCCTGATCCGCCGCCTCCTGTGCTTGGGGTGCCTGGCGTGCTGAATCCTATACAATTTGCTTTTGGTTTTTCCCCAAAAAAAAAAAGAACTTCCCCTGGGGCTTCGGCTCACTGCGCCGGCCACGAGGAAGGCTTCGGGCGATGCCGGGTGGTTACCCAACTCGCCTCCAAGACGGCCAAGATGGCCCAAGATGGCCTCCAAGACAGCCCAAGATGGCCTCCAAGACGGCCAACATGGCTTCCAAGTTCGCCCAAGATGGTCCAAGATGGCCTCCAAGACGGTCCGAGAGGGTCCAACATGCATCCAAGTCTGCCCAAGAAGCCTCCAAGATGGCCCAAGCGGCCCCCAAGAGGCCTCCAAGATGACCCAAGAGGCCTCCAAGAGGTCCTGCAGGAGGGCCCAACGAGGTCCAAATCCTTGATTTGCCTTAGGTTTTGAAGGATTTTGGCATTTGCTTCTTTTCGGCCTTCCGACGGCCCAAGAGGCCCCCAAGATCGTCCCCAGAGCGCCCAAGAGGCCTCCACGATGGCCCCAGGACGGCCCAAGAAGCCCCCAAAGCAGCACAGAGGGGGTCCTAAGAATGCCCAAGAAGGCCCAATGGGGCCTCCATGACGGCCAAGATGGCCTTCGAGAGGCCCTGAAGCACACCACGAGGGCCCCGAGACGGTCCAGGAACGCCCCAAGACGGCCAGAGAGAACCCGACCAAGCCCCCAAAGGCCCCCAAGAAAGAGGCCGAAGGAAACACCCAAAGAGGCCCCCGAAAGGCCCCCAGGAAGCTCCCAGGAGACCCCAAGAGCCCCCCAAGAGACTCCCACGAGGTCTACTCCTTCTGTTCCTCCTCCTCCTCCTCTTCCTCCTCCTCCTCCTCGTCCTCCTCCTCCTTCTCCTCCTCCTTCTCCTCCCTGTTCCTTCTTCTCCTCATGATCCTCGTCCTCACGTGTTCCCCGAAGAGTTTCAACAACGGCTTGGGGAACATATGGTCCGACAGCTTGGCCAAGCTCTAGCCCAACTTTCGGCCACACAGGCGCTTCCAACAATGCGTGGGGCGGCGGTGATTCGCCGTAGGCGTCTTCGATAATCACGATTGTAGCACCTAGCTTCGTAGTCGTAGCAGCAGTCCTTTTTCATCTCACACATGGGGTTGCACTGGCATCCTTTGGACTTGTTGTGAGCATAGCAGCCCTCGGAGAAACAGTTGCCCCTGTCCTTGGGCAATGCGCCATCTGTCTCGCACAAGCCACAGGAAAGCTTGCAATTCGACAAGATGTCATCCTGCGCCTGCTTGGTGTAACCCCATCCCTCCACTTGTGCAGCTCTGTCGCATGTGTAATCGATCCAATCGGTGCAGGGGAAGCCCAACGAATCGCGAAACGTGGCGTTGTCTGTGCATTGCAGCGGGGGGGACCAAGGCAGCGGGGGGCGCATGGCCTGAACAAGACTCGCTGGCGCGGGACGCCAAGGCAGCGACAGGGCCGGCCAGTCAATGCCCTCAGGCGGAGGCGAAGCCCCGCCAGACGACGCGCACAAGGACAGCAGCGCCACCACCAGCATGTTGACCGAACTACGGCAAGACCACCTGCAGGCCCAGCCAGCCAGGAACGGGTGAGCCTCCGTTACGTTGTCGAGGTTCAACCTGGATCCGAGGGGCTCGAAGCTCGATCCAGGAAAGTAGACCTTGGCGAGACGCAAACATCTTACCTGCCACACGTCTCCGAAATATCCACGGCACGAGAGACCACAAGTGGCATCAGCCTCGATCCCCCGGCCCTGTGAAGGGCCAGGAGGCTGCCAGGCAGAAGGCCCTCGGCATGATCTTCGTTCTATCTACGAGCGGGGGCGACGGCTCGAGGCTCGATGCGCATGCGATGGCCCAACCGTGAGAGTTCAGAGCCTTCCTAGGGGGGCCTTCGCACGCCTTCTCGGTAGGTCTGCCCCAGGGCAGTCGCCAAAGAAGTTTTACTACGTATGCATGGGCAGCGAGTCCAGCCCCGCTCTGCAGGCGTGCTCACTGAACCCCTGTTGGGGCTCTCTGTGGGGATGAGAATGCCCGCGATGGGGTAGCCCAAAAGAGTTCAGTCACAATTTGTGCCTGTGCTCGCTGGGGCCGTTTCTGAGCGCTCTGAGAAGAACCTTCGTGCTGGGTTCCCAAGGCGGTCAACTTACAGTATGCGCGCGTGCTTTCTGGGGCCTTGTTGGAGCTCCCATTAAAGTAATAAAGGATTGGGCAAGACGGCCTGGTTAAGATATGTGCCCGAGCTAGTAGCGTCATACAGTATAGGATTCCCTATGAATGTGACAACACACCTGAAAGGTGGGCAAGCATTTTCCGACTACATTATGCACCCGTGTTCCGTGTTCATTGAAACCTTACTAAGCCTTTCCATAGGTGTAAGCATCCTCGTGAGAACTCACTGGGGCCGTTCTGCAGCTCCCTATGGCGGCACGACCCCTAGTTCAAGGCTGCGCAGAACACATCCCGCTACAATATGCGCCCGCCGTGATCGCGGAGGCAGTGTTGGAGCCCCTGACGGGTGGACCAAGACAAAACATGAAACCGTCCATGCTGGGGCTTGTTGGACATCTGTGTGTGCAAGAAGTCATCGCGGAAATTCACCCACGATGGTTTGGTTACACTATGCACCCATGCGGACCGGAACCTTGTAAGCGCTCGCTATGGGGTGATATCCAGGACGGTCCCGTGGTAGTGCACAGATGCCTACAAGGGCCTTGCTGGTGCTGCCGACGGAATCGAGAATCGTCCTTGTGGGCTACCCAGGAGGATCTGGAGATTGCACGCGCCCTCTGCTAATTGGGACACTGTCGGGGTTTCCTATGGGAGTGAGCATCCTCGTGAGGGGATGGCCCAGGACGGCCCGCGCCCAGAATGATACTGTGCCCGACTCAGGGGAAACCGCGTAAAAAGACGACTGTGACGATGCGGAGGATGGTGATTCTCATGTTGTTGCTGTTGATGTTGATGTTGATGTTGATGTTGATGTTGATGATGATGATGATGATGATGATGATGATGATGATGATGATGATGATGATGATGATGATGATGATGATGATGATGATGATGATGATGGTGGTGGTGGTGGTGGTGGTGGTGGTGGTGGTGGTGCTGAGAGTGATAATGAGACGTGCAAGCAGCTGGGCTTGAATGCAAGGCCGAGCCATCCGACTGCACGTGTACATGCGGAGAGCGGCGGACGACTGACAACGTGCACATACTCCGTTGAAGCCCGAGCGGTCAAACATAGGAGCTGGACGCCAATGGCGCTGCCCACGTGAGCGTACGCTGGAGAATGCTCTACCCGCCGCGACACATCTGGAACTAACCACCTGAAGTTAGCAAGACCAGCGGCTCACCCAGAACGTAAGAGCAAGCGCCGAAAAAAAGCAAGACCTGGAATATGCTTCCTCGACGCAGTGAGTGGTCGCCCACCCGCCTAGTGCCAGCATGTATGTCGATGGCCGAGGATAAGATTTTTCAACCGCTGGGCTTGAGAGTGGAAGCAGGCGGAACGCGTCCGGCGACCTGAATGCATCCATGCAACCTCTTGACTCACCAGCTTTAGACAGCGCTACCGCGCTGGCTTGCTCACAAAGACGTGCAACATCAAATGGCGGAGGCGCTCGTGGAACTCTGAATTTACCTTCCACGCAACAGTTGTATCTGATCGGGATTCGATCGGGTATTTCCTTCCACTGTGAAAACGCGGACAGCTCACGGTGCGACGGGGTTTGATACCGAAATCAGCCTGCTGAAAAATTTTCATCAAAGTTGGATACGTGCAAGAAAACCGGCGTCTGTCAAAGTTATCGCAGAGTGGTCGATGGCGGGATGAAAGGCAACCTCGGGATCTCGCACCGCCGACGGCTGTGCGCGGTCGATACTCGCGAGGCCTGCTGCGCGCAGGGACTCAAAACTTCAAGAAACAGGGGCTCGGCCGTACAGTGTCGCCTGGTGCTGGACCTGCGGTTGTTGGTCGAGCGGGAAGGGAACAAGGACAGGCAAGCCATCGTGTGCTACGAAATCGCGGTGGTATTGAAGCCGCCGCCACGACGGCTGCCAGAATTGAAAAACAACTACGCTGAGAGGCGCAATGCGCCAGGATGGTGCGCAGGATTGTTTCGCAACCAAAGAGCTCTTGAGTATGCGAAGGCTCGGCGTCGCAGGAAGCGACCGCTGCGTTGATACTGGCCGCGGGCATGAAAACCTACAACAGTAATCCGCGCAACCCAAGAGCAGGCGATGAACAAGGCGGCTATCTCGACGGTTTCGCATCGAATCGGTTTCACGTCGTTTTTGAGGCAATTCATGACACTCGCGTCTGGCGGCCTATATGTGATGGCCGCGGAGGCGGCACCAGCGGTGGAGATGTGAGGTTAGAGTCTCGGTTATTTTCGGGGAGCTCGACAGCCACCCAACAATCTGGTACCTGTGCGCCCGCATTGTTGAAGATCCGTTAGGTGCTTTCGAGCTCGCTGCGGATGCCGAACTGGGCAGCGTATGTTTTCTTATGTGCTTCCGACCGCTCCAGACCGCGCTCTGCTGGCATCAGTAACTGGGTGACGGCGACCAGAGCATTCTACCACGCGTGCCAGACATGCAGCGTGATGCGTGACATCCGCTGGTCGACGACGGCTTGCAAGGCGGACGCGATCGCAATCAGAATCCGAAGGCGGGATACCGTCGCAGGAGGCGTGCGCAAAACCACGCAGCGAACCGAAGAGCACCAAGCCGGCGCACTGCTCGCTCGCACAGCTTGAACTGCCGAAGGACGCCACGCCCGTTCGAGGGGAGCCTCTACAAGGCCTGCCTTTAGAGGCCTCCTGGATGGGGTCGGAGTAGATGGGGTCGGAGGATTGCGCCGCATCGCCGATACATCGAAGATGTATGGGCGATGCATCGGCGATGCACCGGCCATGCATCGTCGACGCCGGCGATGCATCGGCGACGTCGACGAGAGGCAAATCGGGCTCCACATCGAGCCGCATCGGCGATGCATCGGCGATGCGGCGCGATCCTCCGACCCCATCTACTCCGACCCCATCTAGGAGCCCTAGAGCCTTTCCTTCGGCCCCCGCCAGCGGAAGCCGCGGTGCCAGCGGAGCGGGCGCGCCACGGAGCCATGCTGCCGCGGCATGCCGCGGCCGCAGCTCACGAGCCGCGGCGGCCCGCGCGTCCGGCGGCAGCGCGCTTCCCTTCGAAGGGGCGGCGGGGGCGGGGGGGTCGGCGGCGAGGGCGGGGCTGACGGGAGCCGGGCCGTGCAAGGGCCTGCGGCGCGGCCCTCTGCAGGGGCTGCCGCCTCAGCCAGCGACTCCGGCGAATGGTCACTCTCACGTGCAGCCTACTGTTGCCCCAGACTCGGGTGTTCCACCATGTGCGACCCTCAAGCTTAAAAATTACAGCTCGTCGGGACCATTCTCCAGGAACCCTGGGGCAAGATCTTCATCCAGGAACCCTGGGGCAAGATCTTCATCCTCGCCAGAGGAGACGGGCGCCTGATGCGCAGAAAGCTCACCACGGGTTCTGCCGAGAGCGAGGTTCGAGCTCAGAGTGTGTTGCTGCAGGTTGCTGCTGTCACAAAGGGCGGCAGTTGGTGCGATTTGCACCGTCGCGGCGTACGGGCCAGGAGGCTGCAGATACCGACATCTGTCGTCTGACCGTCGCTTGTGTGGCCTGTTGGGCAACCTGCCCTTTGCTCGCTTATCCCAGCCAACGTCACACATCGCAGCTCGCAGAGCCAATTTCCTGATAGGAGGTTGTAGCCACTTGCTGCTGTGCGACTGCCCGCTTGTAACCCTGCGTCAGAACCGTGCCACGTTCTTGGTGCGCCGAAGCTGGCGTGGTCCTCCGCGCCGATGACGCCCAGCACTGTAAGATGCACCTCGGTGGCTGTCAGGTCATAACTCGCGGGCCAACAGCTACTGGAAAAGGGTGACGCCCTCAACAGCATACATGTTGATCCGAAAAGTATACGAATAATGTTGCTAGCCATGATGATGGTTATGACGACGACACATGGAAAGGAGAGGAAATGGAAGGTGTAAGCATTAGGAGAAGGTAAGAGATGGGGCCTGCCAATTGCAGCAGCAAGCGAGAATCAACTACACAATACAGCATCCCGTAGACGGGAGAAGAAACAGCGCACCCAAAATGTGATAAGCCTGCCCCCGCTTGAAAAGCCATCCTGGGCAACACTCCTTTCCAACGCGACTGCTTCACTGATCGCGCATCACGATATGACATCAGTGTCCTAGAATGGGCCAGGTAATAAAGAACACATGCAGGACCGCACATGTTCGCCAATTAGGCTTGCCTACGGGGGTCTTACTTGGTGAAAGGTTGGTGCCTCGGAATCTTTCGTTGCCCGTTCCTCGGACGTTCCCTGGTTAGGTGTCATCGGGCTGAGAGCTATTCTAATCATGTGGTGTGCCTATTAGCTTCGATTAGCTTCTATTAGCTTCTACCAGATCCTACTAAGCCTGCCTATTGGCAGAGAACCCAGGGCCTAGGTTCTCTGCCCTCGCTGCCTGCGATTCTTACGTTGCCCGTTCCTCGATGGTTCCACTCGGGGATCTTCTGACCCGGGTCAATCCAGAACCGGGTCAGCAGGAAACCCAAAACTGAAATGCAGGAACAAAAAAACTGCAACGCAAATCTTCGCAAACCCGGGTCAGCCAATACGCGCGGCCGCCTCGCGGCCACGAGCGGCTCGCAAACCCGGGTCAGCCAGAGGGGGTCTTCGCAGGATCCTGCAGGATCCGGCGCTCTGGCTGACCCCCGTCTGCGTTGACCCCCGTCTCTTAGGCCCCGATCCACGGGCTCCCAAAATTTCCTGGGGGTTCCCCGGTTCCCTGGATTCCCTGGGTTCCTCGCCCCGGTGCCATGCGAAGCAGCTTGGACAAGACATGCTAAGCAATGGTAAGCAATGGTAAGCAATGCCACGCAATACCACGCAATGCCAAGCAATGCCAAGCAATGTCACGCAATGCCAAGCAATGCCAAGCAATGCCAAGCAATGCCAAGCAATGCCACGCAATGTCACGCAATTCCAAACACTGCGCTCATGCAACCGGAAGCTTTCCCCTAATTGGGGTCGCGCTGGGCTCATTTTTGGCGTGCTTCTTTATATTACTGTTATCTCCATATGCCGGGGGCCCCCAATGGGGCCAGAGAAGAAGAAACACCCAAGCAGGTAGCAAGTTCATTCCTGTTGATTGAGGTGGAAATTGTTTGTGATTTCTGGAGCCGCAAACACTGGGATTCCCTGGTGTAACCGTGGGCCCCCACAAACACATCAAACAAAGCTACAACAACATCCGTGCGCAAACATAAAAGGCACAACACATATTCCCATTCCGCACACTCTTCACCACTGGAGGAGAAAGCAACAACATATTAACTCTTAAGGTCGGATGGGCCTCTGCTCAGCCTCCACTCAACGGCTTCGCCATCGCGTGTGAGCCAGCGCCCGTGCTCCTCACAGCAATGAGCTTGAACCAAGGTTGCCGCGGGAACAAAAGTTAGCCTGGCGAAGGACCCAACCATATGCAGTTGTGAATACCTCAGTTGTGAGTATCGTCTTCGGTGGAGCTCCCTCTGGGGCCACGAAACGTATGAGGGGTGCCGACATGGATGGCGCGGACGCATGCGAACCCTGCCACTGGGGCCCTCGGTGGAGCGCCCGAGAGGGCCCACGAAACGTGTGAGGGGTGTGCCGGCATGGGTTGCGCGGACGCGCGCGGACCCTGCCACTGGGGCCTGCGGTGAAGCTCCCGAGGGGGCCACGAAGCGTGTGAGGGGTGTGCCGACATGGGTGGCGCGGTGGTGATGACGATGATGACGACGATGATGAATAGTGAAGATGAGGACATGCGGAGGGCAGAGGCAACGGTGGGAGGAGGGAGGAGCGGGAGGAGGAGGAACGTGAGGTGGGAAGCGGGGCGCTGTCTCTTCAAAACGAGGACCCAGATCCACAGGATGGCTGGGAAAGCGAGCCAGTAGCACCATATCCTGGCTGATGCGTAAGGCAGAAGGCTTGGATGCGCTGCACTTTCTGTCCGCCCTTTGTGCGCATCGGCACGCCGTCGTTCACTTTCACATCGGCAAGCCGCTGAAAACAACATACTCAGACTGGCATGCTAAACCGCGTGGCAACGTCTGGTATGACGTCTCACCCGAAGCCCGTCACAGAAACGATTTTGCCACCACCACTAGGAAAGACAGGATAATGACCTACCAAACCTCAAACTCCAACCACCAACAACAACCACCAGGACAACCACCAGGACACAAAACATCCATTCGGAGCCAGAACCCGCACGACGCTACGAACGATGCTCACAATGCTCAACACCGACATTTGTTGGAACGAACTGTAATGCGATAGTGTGCGATGCCGTGAAACACGTTGTATTGTGACGTGCGCTATGACGATGAAGTGTCATATGGTGCACTCTTTTTTCGAGACCGGACAGGCTGGCCTGGGGGCCAGGGGTGCCAGGAGAGGGGGTGTTCAGGTGTCTGACGGCCGGATGTCTGCATCAAGAATTCGACGGCAAGAAATCCCTCCGCTTGATATGTTGCACGTAAGAGCCACAATGTGTAAACTCATGTGCACGTCCTTGTTTACTGGGAGAATTACCACACTTCCCTCCCGTCCCACTGCGATCTCACCCCCCAACCTCCGATCTAACATGGTGGTCCCAAGCTGGAACCACGTGTTTTTACGTGTCCAGGTCACCCAGGGCGGTATCTGACATGGTTGCCCCGAGCTGGAACCACGTGTTTTGCACGTGTCCAGGCCGCCCAAGGGCCAGGGTGTATCTAACATGGTTGTCCCGAGCTGGAACCACGTCTTCACGCGTCCAGGCTACATAATGAGATATCCAACATGTGGTCGTCTGACTCTATGTCTGAGCAGATTGTGAGTGTGTTTCGAGCGAGGGCTGCGGAACTGAACCGGAGCTTGAGCTCGAGCTGGTCGAGCGCCCCGCGTGTTTCGATTGCAACTAGTCCGGGTTATGCGTTCACACATCTCGAGCTTAGGATTCAAAGCAGTTCGGTCAGGATACTGACGTCAAGGACGGCTTGACCCAATGCAATGGCGCACGGCACAATTCAACGCGGCATGTCCCCTGGCGCGTCCGTGGCACGTCCCGTGGCGCGTCCCTGGCACGTCACTATGCGGCGCGGCACAGCGCAGATCAGCACAACACAACCCTTGACATAATGTCGTCACCATGGATACCTTGAGCATCATCACTGCCGATCGACCCAGTTGAGGTGCTTGACAACGTTCCCGCGCCTCGCAATTCTACATCCCTTTCCAGGTTCGTGGGTCGACCGTGTTTCTGTTACCATCTTGCTACCATGTGCGAATACAGGGAGACGGCCGAGGGGCCGTTCCTGTACGGGGTCCGTAGGTAGAAGCAAAGAGGGCGATTCCTCTTCCGAGGCGCTGCGCAGTGTGCAGTGCACACTGGTCAGAGTGCCAATACCCGAGCCAATACAGTTGCGGAAGGGAGGTAATGGGGAAGTGAGCGGACTTCACACACACACACACCATGCTTTACCACGAACACATCCACGTTTCAGGTCGAACGAGACGAGATCCTGACGACGGCGCGCCCGCCAGAGGCTGCGCTCGGAGAGGGGGATCCGCTCGAGGACGACCCGCGGGGGCGGTGCTACATTTTCTCTGCGGGCGTAGATCTCAACGTGTCGAACTGGTCGCCCCCGAAACAGCCTCTCACTCCAGTACGGTTTTGCGATCGCTCTGTTCCTATGCGCAGCGCTTCGGCCAAAAACCGGCACAATCTTGATATGGCTCCTGTCGTGCTGGGTACGACACAGAAGACATGCTGCATGAACCAAGACGACAACATGGGAATAACTATAAGCAAAATGAAGAGAGCAGAAAGGAGTGGGAGCTGGAAGATACGGTTCCTTCTGACTGACCTCGCGCTGCAGCTGTTCCTCGAAGGCCGCCTGACATTGAGACGGGTGCTCATCGAGTGTGCCACGCTGCCGCAGCTGGGCCGCAGCAGTCGCTGCCGTTGCCACTGCAGCTGCTGCCAACTACCAGCACACCCGCTCTTCCTGATCACTCTCCGCCTCCTCCTCCTCCTCCTCGTCCTACTCCTCCTCCTCCTCCTCCTCCTCCTCCTCCTCCTCCTCCTCCTTCTCGTCTTCTTTAGCGAGCGAATGAAGTTGGTACATACGGCCTTTCAGCGAGGTCAAGGGGCCATTCCTGCCCGCAGCTCCCTCGTGCAATGCCCCCCCCTCTTGGCAACACTGGCCCAGTCGCCCCTCGTGGCGGCACTCGCCCAGTCACTCTTTGTTGGACAGCATGATGGGATTGTATCGCTAGCAGGGAGCGCGCCATTGCCACCTCAAGCACATGGCACTGGTGGACGTCACTCGCAGCCACTGCAGCCGATGTGGCCATGGCTCACGAGGCATGGTACTCCAGCCCGCCTCAAAAGAGGGAAGGCTCTGATGGCGGCTTGCCCGAAACATCAGCAAGAAATCGCGAGGGGCAATCAACGGGCGAACAGAAGACGCGTGCAAGATCACGCGGGGTTAGGGGCGGACGAGAGGAGACAGACACCCCGTTTCCGATCCCCCCCCTCGCTCCATCCCTTTTCCCCTCCCTTTCCCTCCAACCCTCTCCCATTTTCCCGAATCGCCGCCCCCTCCTTGTTCCACTTCCCCCTCCGCTCCTTTCTCCTCTTCCCGCTACCTCTCCGCTCCTGTATTTGCCATCGACCGTCTTCTCCCCTCCCTCCTCGTTCCCTTCCTCCTCTTTCCTCCCGCCCACCCTCCTCCGCCTGCTCCTCCTCATCCTCCTCCCCCCCTGCCACCCCCTACCCCTCCCCTTCCTTCTGCCCCGTCGTCGCAAGCCTGACACGGTGCGCAAGTCTGTTAAGACGAAGCCAGGACGAAGATAAATTCGGGTGAGGATAAATCGAGTATCTTTGCGATCCAGCGGCCCTGTAGGATGTCTCGGGCGCCGCGGCCTTCTCCGAGCGCTCTGGAACGCTCTGAGAGCGTTCCGGAACGCTCTGGAACGGATTTGTCCTCGTCCTGGCCCCGTCCGACCTGTCCTGGCCTCCCGACGCCCAGGAGGGCACGCTCCGAGTCAGAACTCCAGGGGGCCTCGGTGACCTCCGCGTGGGACCGGGCTCGAGCTAGACAGTGTTTTCCGTGTTCGTCTTGTCTTCGTTGTCCCTTGCTCTTCCTGCCTTCGTTCCGCCTATGGTGCAGATGACATCAAAACGAAAACGGCCCACGAGGGATCGCCAAAGCACCGACCAGCTCGAGCCCTGGCGTGAGGCCGCGCAGCCCCTTCGCGACGAGGCCGCAGCGGAGGAGCAGCCAGCGGCAGGCCCGCAGACTCCCGCGGAGCAGGGCGAGCTGAGGCGGCGGCGGCTCAAACTCTCGCGGAGCCTCGCCTCTGCCAGGGAGGCGTCGTGACCAAAACCGTGCCCGGAGATCCGCCCGAGGGTGACCGCAGCTGGCGCCCGAGGTACTCCGGCCGCACCCTGGTGTGACCGAAATGTGTGGCTCGAAGCCCAGACGGCTTCCGAGTTCGGGCGCAACTTTGGTCGCACCACGTATGCAGTCACAACTTCGGGCACGGTTTCGGTCACCGATTTTTTTCGGTCACCCACCTCTTCGGCCATTAGGGGCGGGTTGCCATGAAAAATCGGTCCCTGGACCCCTCCCGGGGTCCAAGCGCACCGCACCAGTTTCCCGAGCTGCGTCCAGCCGTGGTGACGAGGGGGCCCGCCCGAAGGCCAACTGCTGTTGTCTCAACTCGCCCTCCTCTGATACACGATCGGCGTCGTCCAGCCCTGGTGGCTTCCGGGTCATGGCTCGAGCCTCCAGCTGCAGTCCGGGACGGCTCTGGGGCCTCCAGGATGCTCTCAGCGAGGCGCAGCCGACGGAACGCATCCCGAGGCTGGGACACCGCCGACGACCGACGAAAGCTGATTTTTCGCGATGAGCCGCGGAGGCTCGGCTGGGACACCGCCGACGGCCGACGAAAGCCCCCCAAAAGCCTCGCCCCCGACCTGATTTTTCGCGACGGGCCGCGGCTAGGAGCAGACCGCGGGCAGGCCACGGCGCGCTGCCGGCGGGTCGCGGCCTGGTCGGGCGCGGGCCACGGGCTTCCACCGACGAGGGAGGACGACGAGGACGCGGCGCCGCCCCTCGCTGCCCTCTCACCGCGCACCTGGTGGAAAAAACGCCCCGCCCCAACCAGAAGACACCGCGCAATCGCATCCCGGTCGGTAAGTGATATGGTCTGGCGCGGAGTGGTTTCCGATCCCTTGTTTGGGGCAGCAGAGTTCTTAACGTCTCCGGGATCGGAAACTACTCCGCCGAATGATCCCAGCATCATGTCATGTTAGGAATCTTGAGAAGGATGGGAGAAATCTTCATCATAGCAAATTGAAGAAACTTCTGTCACGGCTGAGTAGCCCAAAGAAATGGCGGCCCCTGCGAGTTCTGGCAGGTGTCGTGCTTGCCTGCCCCGGCTGCGAGCCGACCGCAAGCCGCAGCCTGCCCCGTCGGCGTAGAATTCGCCCTCGACCCGGGAACCCGACCACCTGCCGAAGTTTCAGGAGACTGCAGACCCAAGATTCCGGCCGCCTGCCGAACTCGGCACGACACTGCCGCCTACTCCTGCAATTTCCGCTGGGACCTGAGGCAAGCACTGATTGGGAAACGTCGTTTTCTTCAAAACTGCCTCACAATTTGGCATCGATTCCGAAAACATGTGTACGCACCAATGGGGCGAGGGGGGGGATCCGCCGACCCCTTGGGGTCATCGGCGTGTGAGATGCTTCCCCCCTCCCCAAACCCCTCCCCCCGGAGCCTGGTCCGGTCGTTTTGGAGGGGGGGGGGGGGGGGTCCGGCCGGATTCCCCGGGATCCGCCGGCGCGGTCCGGGGGGGGTCATCCGCTCCAGAGAGTCTGCTGGGGGGGCCGCAAACGAGCGAAGAGGCTCCCAAGAAGCTCTGCAGACGGTCCAAGAGGGCCCCGAGTCGCCGAAAAAACACTCGAAGACGGTCAAGATGGCCTCCAGATGGCCCCAGATGCCTCCAAGACGCCCCAAGAAGCTTCCAAGACGCCTCCCAAGATGGCCCCAAGAGGCCAAAATCGTCGATTTCCATTGGTTTTTTCAACGTTTTTGGCCTTCGCGTTTTTTCGGGCTTCCGACGCTCCAAGACGGCGAAAGAAGCCCCCAAGACGGCATCAAGACGACCCGAGAGGCTCCCAAGTGGGCCCCAACACGGCCCAAGAGCGCCTCAAAACGGCTCAAGAGGGCCTTCAGACAGTCCAAGAGGGCCCACAGAGGGGCCCAAGAAAGGCTCCAGACGGGGACCACGAACCTAAAATTCTAGCCTTCCGCCCCAAAAGGCGCCAAGGAGGCCCCAAGAGGCCTCCAAGAGGCTCCAAGAAGCCCCCAAGAGGCCCCCAACAAGCCCAAAAAAAGCCCCAAGCTGCCCCAAAACAGCTCCCCAGAAGCCTCCAAACTGCCTCCCGCAGGCCCCCGAGAGGATTCTCACGACGACGGCGCCAGAGGCTCCCACAACGGTCAACGAAGCCCCCAAGATGGCCCCAAAAAGGTGCCCAGCCTACGCCGTCGAGTCTGTCGCCGCCATTGTCGTCCTCGTCGTGTTCTCCTGCTCCTTCTCATCCTCCTCTTCCGCCCCCTCCTCCCGTCTCCCCTCTCAGCTTTCTGTCTCGTATTCCCTCCACTGGCTCACTTTTCACCTTCTCCGCCTTTGGCTGCTCCCCCATCCTCCCTCCTCCACGTCCCCCTTATCCATCCCGTCCCCAGCGGTCAGATTCCTCGCAACTTCCGTGCCTTGTCGCAATGCTCGTCACTTGGTTCCGCCGGGCGTTTCGGAGGGTCTCTCCGCGGCGCTCGTCCCGCTTTAAAACACTTCGCGCACACAACTGGGTTGTTTCGCTTGAAATAATTCTTCTTCTGGTCTTTCGACAAATGGCCCCCGTCTGAAAACGCTGGTTTCTTCCCGTCCCCGTTCGGTGGGCACGCGGAGCATTCAAACTTTTTCGCCCCCGTGCGCGCATCGTGACACGCGCGGCACACGACTGGGCGATGCGCCTGGCCCGTCTTCCTATAATGTACTTTCTGGTTATCGGACAAATGGCTCAAGTCTGTGAACGCGGGCGCCTTCCCATCCGCCCCCGTCGGGCATGCTCCACAACGGAAAATCTGGGCCTCCGATTTTTCGTGGCACGCGCGGCACATGACCGGGCGATGCGTTTGGCCCGTTCTCCTGTAATGTTCTTTCTGACTGTCCGATAAATGGCTCACGTCTGTAAACGCGGGCCTTATCCATCCCGTCCCCAGCGGTCAGATTCCTCGCAACTTCCGTGCCTTGTCGCAATGCTCGTCACTTGGTTCCGCCGGGCGTTTCGGAGGGTCTCTCCGCGGCGCTCGTCCCGCTTTAAAACACTTCGCGCACACAACTGGGTTGTTTCGCTTGAAATAATTCTTCTTCTGGTCTTTCGACAAATGGCCCCCGTCTGAAAACGCTGGTTTCTTCCCGTCCCCGTTCGGTGGGCACGCGGAGCATTCAAACTTTTTCGCCCCCGTGCGCGCATCGTGACACGCGCGGCACACGACTGGGCGATGCGCCTGGCCCGTCTTCCTATAATGTACTTTCTGGTTATCGGACAAATGGCTCAAGTCTGTGAACGCGGGCGCCTTCCCATCCGCCCCCGTCGGGCATGCTCCACAACGGAAAATCTGGGCCTCCGATTTTTCGTGGCACGCGCGGACAGCCGTCCAGGGCCCAGAGGCTCCCAAGACGTCCCCAAAAGGGCGCCAAGACGACCCACGAGGCGCCCAAGTCCATGGGCTCGCTCCGGAGCTCCAAAACGACCCCTGAGACCTCCCAAGAAGGCCCACAGGCAATCCAAGAGGACCCCGACGCGCCAGAGAAAGGAAGAAGAACCAAAAAAAAAAATGATCGACCAAGATGACATCCAGACCACTCATGAACCCCTCCGGCCGCCTCACAGAGCCTCCAACAGAGCCCCTCCCAAAACCGGCGATCGCCCCAGAAAAAAAAACAAGGGGTCGGCGGATGTGGCGTAAGCTTGAAGAATAACGGAATGCCTCCAATCGGGGTGCCGTTTTCGATTTTGTGTTCGCATCCTGCGTGACGCGCGCGCGGGTGAGGCAGAGTTGTCGAAGCGGGCGAGAGGGGATCATCTGCCACAGCGAGGGGCAAGCCATGAGAAAGTCTTCTGGCTGCCCGTCCCGAGGGTGTTCGGTGGGCGGTGGTCTGGTGATTGCTTCGCCGTTTTCCCGGGGTGGTCCAGTGAGATAGGTAATTAGACAAAAATGGAAGCATTGCGCCCCTGACCGCCTAATAAGTGCCCAATTGCGCCCCTGGAAGACCCAACACGGACCTATGTGGCCCCATGCCGACCTCAAGGCGGCCCAAGAGCGCCCGAGTATGCACCAAGATGGTCTTGGAAGGTGCATGAAGGACACCCAAGGAAGCGACTCTTTCATGAAAGCCGCATGCTTCGCAGCTCCCGTTCATGAGGCGAGGGCCAGCGAGCCGGAGAAGAGCAAGACGAGGACGAAGCCACCACCGAACCCGACGAGACGTAGCGCGTTGCCAAACATGGTGAGCCGGGGTTCGTGCAGCTACGGGTGCCACGACAAACATCATCAAACATGATTCAACGAAGCGCCTTTCACAAGCTCGCCAAGTGCACCAGCCGCTCCAGGCCCACGAGCGCGAAGCAGATGAAAAAAGCGCCGCGCAGGGGACCCCTCACAATGCCAAACACCTACGGCAATCGCGGCCGAGCTAGCGCAGCACCCTGCACCCAGCGTCGCCGAGGCTCGAGCCAACATGGCAAAAGGAGGGGGAGGGAGGGAGAAGGGACTGAAGGAGGAGGGGGCGGCGGAGGGGAACGGGAAGAGCAGCAGCAGCACGAGGAGGAGGAAGGGCGACCATGACTCCAGATCCGCCCTACTCTCTGGAAGATTTCTGAAGTAAGGCGGGAATTCATTTCCGCCCTGCTTCTCAAGTTCCTGCAATGCCGGCTTCTGGCCTACATCGGTCTACTTTGCTGTCGCCGTTTCCGTCGTTCTTTTGCAGACATAACCGCCCTTCTTTCTTGCGGCGGTAGCTGCAGCCGTACTTTTTTGCCTCGTGCGGGGCGCATTTCCGACACAAGTTCGCATCGGAGAATCAACCAAAGTACGGCGAATCCAGAGACAGGGAAGGGCGGCGGAACGGCACGGGAGGATCAGCAACAGCAGCACGAGGAGAAGGAAGACGACCAGTGTAAGCCCAAGACGCATCGACGAGGTTGAAATCAACCCTCCCTCCAAACTTCCTCTTCATAGGGCTATGAAAGAATATGTTGCCATCGCGGTAAATCCACATTGGTAACAAACGTTTGAGAATCCTCCATCGTGCCAAAACGCCACTGCTGTGACTTCAGCGTCGCGAATCAACGTGACTTTTGCTTCTTGACAATCCTAAATCGTACCAGAACGCTTCTCCCGGGACTGCAACACCACGAATCAAGATGCCATGCGTCCTGACATCCCTAGATCTAGCCATAACATCATTCCTGCAATCTCGACCGTGCGAGTCCTTGAATCTGCTCCAGGCTGTGAACAAGTGTGCGCGGCGCTGGGGCGAGAACCACATTTTGAACAAGAGCCGCCCTCCATCCGTGAAGCTGAAGCAAACATTTCAAACACATGAACGCGGCGCTGAGGCGAGAGCCACATTTTGAATACGGTCCGCCCACCATCCTTGAAACTGTCGCAAGCATTCAAACGAACAACGTTTGCGCGGCGCTACGGCGAGAACATTTTTTCAAGCGACACGCCCACCATGATTGAAGCTGCTGCAAACAAACTTTTAGACACGAATGCGCGCGACACGAAGGCGATACCAACAATTTGAAAAAAGGCCCGCACACCATCCGTGAAACTGTGTCACGTTTCAAGCTGCAAGATCATACATAGTGAGGAGGCCTCGGGCGAAACGCTTGGCCCGCTTTCCCGACGCATGAGGAGGTGCGACAAGGGGAAAGTACTTGTAAGACAGGAGATGGAGGAACACTGTTGACCCAAGACGCATCATCCCTCCACCCAAGATCCCGCTTCTCAGGTCCCTACACAAAAATCTATGTTCATTGCGGGAGGTGGCCCATTAGAAAGCAGTCGTCTGATAACCCCCAACCGTGTCAAAACACCATTCCTTGGACATCAACGCCCCGAATCAACGTGACTCTTGCGCCCGGACAAACCCAAATAGTGCCAGAACGCCTTTCCTCGGACTTCAACACCGCGAGCCAACATGACGGCTGCGTCCTGACAACCCTAAGTCGTGCCAGAACACCGTTCTTGGGATTTCAACCATACCAGCCCTTGTAACGGGCCCGTAATGTAAAACGGTGTGCGCGGCGCTGAGAGCAGAGCCACAGTCTGAAAAAGAGCCGCCCTCCATCGCTTACATGGCTGAGAACAATTTAAGCACATGTGCGCGGCGCTGAAGCGAGAGCTGCATTTTGAAAACGGCCCGCCTTACGTCCTAGAAGCTGCTGCAAGCGTTTAAGACGCATGTGCGCGATGCTAAAGCGAAAACCACATGTTCAAACACGCCCGCTCCATCCGTGCAACGAATACAAACTTGTATCACGGATGTGCGCGGCGACAAAGCGATAAGCCCGCCCACCATCTGTGAAGCCGTGGCAAGGTAAAAAAAAAATGTGCGCGACGCGAAGGCGAGATCAACAGTTTGAAAGCGGCCCGCACACCACCCGTGAAACTGCGCCAGGTTTCGAGCTTCAGGACCGTAGATGGTGAGGAGGCCTCAGGCGACACGCCTGGCCCGCCCTGCTGACACGCTTGGGGGTGCGGCAGGGAACAGCTACCTCTAAGAAAAGAGATGGTGGACCAGCGCGCACTCAAAACGCATCGACGATGTTGCCGTCCAAGTTTCCTTTTTTTTCATAAGTCCTGACAAGAATATCTGTGCATTGTGGGAGGTTGCCCCTTAGAAGGCAATCGTCTGATAATCCCCGACGGTGCCAAAACACCATTCTTTGGACAGTGATGCCGCGAATCAACGTGACTGCTGCCTCCCTACAATCCCGAATCGCACCAGAATGCCATCCCTCGGACTTCAACACCGCGAACCAACATGACGATTGTATCCCGACAGTCCTCCATCGTGACAGAACGCCGTTCTTGGGACTTCAACCATGCCAGTATTTGCAGCTGCTGCAAACTATAAGAACACGTGCACGGCGTTGGGGCGAGAGCCACATTTGGAAAAAGCACCGCCCTCCGTCCTTAAAGCTGTGCCAGGCATTTGAAACACATGTGCACGGCGCTGAAGCGAGAGCCACATTTTGAAAACGGCCCGCCCTCAACCATTGAGACTGTTGCAAGCAGCAGACATGGATGTGCGCGGCGCCGAGGAAAAGGACCCGCCCTCCATCCTTGAAGCTGTAACCCGACAGCCACATCTCGAAAACGGCCTGCCCGCCATCTCTGAAACTGCTGCAGCCTCTTGGCGAAGAGAGCTCGGGTGAAACGCCCGGCCCGCACTACCGACACGTCTGGGGGTGCGACACGAAGGAACTATTCAGAAGGAGTAGGGATGGAGGAGGAGGAGGAGGAGGAGGAGGAGGAGGAGGAGAAGGGGAAAGGAGGAGGAGGAGGAGGAGGAGGAGGAGGAGGAGGGGCGAGGCGCAGGAACAAGAGAGGAGCACCCCCCCCAGCCGCGGCGATCTCGCGAGGGCGGCCTCCAGCTCCCTGCGCCGCCGGTCGGCCTCGGCCTTCTGCGCCAGGCTGCGCTCCTGGACCCCGCCGCGAGGCCCTCCCCCCCCCTCCCCCCCCCCTCCTCCTCCCCTCCTTCCTTCTCCTTCTCTCCTCCTCCTCCTCCTCCCCCTCCTCCTCCTCCTCTTCCTTCTCCTTCTCCTCCTCCTCCTCCTCATTTTCTCCTCTCCTCCTCCTCCTCCTCCTCTCCTCCTCCTCCCCCTCCTCCTCCCCCTCCTCCTCCTCCTCCTCCTCCTGGCCCTCCTCCTCCCCCTCCTCCTCCTCCTGCTGCCAGAGCCCGCGCTCCGACGCCGCGAACGACCTGCGGCACCCTGGCTCCGAATCCGCCTTCCTTCAAGGCGACTCCGCAAGTACAGTCGGGGCGTTGACCTCAGGAGCCCTAGATGAGGAACGAGGCCCCTTTTTTTCCATAAGTTAACCTTCGATTCCCCGTCGAGAACATAAGGAAAGCCTGAGGCAAGCTGTGCAACACCTAAGGAACGCGGAGCCCCTTCCCAACGAAAAGGGTTCCTTCTTCAGGGCCCCGACTGTAGGGCGGGACTGTCCGCCCTACTTTTCTCAAGCTCGTCTGCTGTCGATGTCCGCCCCACTTGGCCGTGGCTGTGTTCCGCCACACGTTTGCGGAGATGTCCGCCCTGCTCTTGCGAGGCGGAAGGTTCCCCCCCATTGTTTCGCATCGTTGGGGATGTGTTTCCGCCACATTCTGAAATCAGGAGATCAGCCAGAGTACGGCGGGTGCAGAGTCAAAGTGAGATCCGACGTTGCGAACAAATTGCAGCACCGCCCAGAACCACGACCAGAGCCCGCGACCGCACCTTTCTGCGGCGAGTTCCGAGCTGGATCGATCTGTGATGGCCCCGGGGCCCGAAACCGGGCGAAAGTGCCCAGGGTGAACGAAGGTGCAGCACCCGGATCTCAGGGTCAAGCAAGCTGAACACTCTTCCTTCTTCCCGCTGCCGGTGACATGTGCTCCCCCGCTGCCTCCGTCTGACCACTTCGCCTCGGACGGGCGGCAGCGTCTCGGGAGGGAGCGCCCGAGCACGCCAGACTGGCGGGGCCCGCGGGAGCCACGATCTGCTGCCAGAAACGATGCTGCCGAATTCTTGCGCGAAGGCCGAAGCGACGTTGCCGAGCTCCCGTGACACGTCGGAGCCTCGGCTGGACAGGGCGCTGCCGGCCACAATCATCATCTGCCGCTGCAGAATACCTCGGCGGCTGTACGCGGCAGAGTGGCGAGTGACAGTATGGACGACGTGATGCGGTAGAGCCTTCATCGAGGTCCTTTTTTTTCTACCCACCACCCACTCTCCTCTCAAGCTCGCTGGCCGGCGACCTAATGCCACAGAAAAGTGTCCTCTCAAGCTCGCGGGCAGGCAGTAGAAAAGTGTCCTCTCAAGCTCGAGGTCCTTTGTATCCAGTTCCGCTTCAGCACGGTTTGCTTCTGGCGCGTGGGGCAGTTGCCTGGTCAAGCGGCCCTTGACGCACATGCGAGGACCCCGCCTTGCTGGCATGAAGTAGCGCTGGGCCGAAGCCTCGAACGACCGCGCGATGTGAGGGTCCTGCTGGTCACCTGCATCGGGGGGCGGATCGTCACCCTCATCTCTGGAGGAATGCACAGCAATCGATGCTTTAGCCCTGGGCTCGTCTAGAGCGTGCCTGCGTGCACCGCGCTCGGAGCGCCACGGGGCAGACGGAGAGGCAGGGAGGAGCACGTCGGCAGACTCGCAGAGCAGCTCCGATCGACGGGCCGCGTGCGCACCCCATCAAGTTGGAAGCTTGGAAATTGGCACCAACACCAACATCAGGGGTTGCCTCCACGGGAGGAAGATGATCCTGGATTTTGGTGCTGGTGGTAATCTTTCGGCCACCTGGAAAGCCCGAATATCACCACCATCACCTGGATCGGGATCATCTTCCCTCGGTGGAAGCACGCCGCCGATATTGGTGTTGGTGCCAACCTCTAGGCCTCCGATCAAGCCCCCGTGGGATGCAAAAGGGGCCCCGAGGGTCTGCGGCGGGAGGCGCTCCGGTGGCACGGGAGCGTGCTGAAGCACGTCGGGGGCAGCATTTTCGGCCTCTGGCAGTTCGGCGAGCCACGAGGCGGAGCTTGAGTTTTTTTGGAGGCAGAGCTGCGCTGAGAGCTCCTCTGGCTGCCAGCAGTAACGGTGCCAGATCGCTGCACGCCTGGGCCCCACTGGGGGGTGGGGCTTGTGTCGCTCGCCAGCATCTGTCCGATTCGTCCTTCTGCACGTTCCCTGGAGTTTTTGTTATCGATGTGCTTGCCTATCCGACCCCGCTGCTCGTCATACTTCTTTCCCGACGTGCCTCCCGCTCACCTCTGACCTCCCTCCCCTGGCCACCATCCTCAAGAAGATCAAGCATCTAAGCTAGGGGCATGCAGAGTGCCACTTCGCAAGTGGCGGTTTTGAGGCGAGGACCCCCTGTCAGAGCTAGGGCGTTTGCACCAACTTAGAAGAAATCCCACCAGCCCTCTGGGCGCAGGTGGTCTAGGGCGTTTCCGTTTCAAATCTCCTTCCGTTCCCTGCTTGGGAGTTTTACCCCCCCCCCCTCCATGCGTTTGGACGGGGGGGGCCGACCCATAGCAGCGTCCAAGATGGCCCAAGATGGCTCCAAGAGGGCCTCAGAGAGCGCAATATGGCCTCCAAGATGGCCCAAGATAGCGGTAGATGGGTCAATCTAGCCTCCGACACACGTCCAAGAGGCCTCAAGACGGCCCCTAAGACGGTTTCAAATGCTGTCCGCGGCCTCCGAGGCCCCCCCAAGAGGCCAATTTTCTTATTAAAAAAACACCAAAGGAAAACCGATGTTGTCGGCCTTCTCGCTTTTTCGCCTCCAAGAGGCTCCTGAGGCCTCAAGATGGCCCTAAGGCGGTCCAAGATAGCCCCAAGAGGGGTCCAAAAGAGCCCCAAGACAGCCCCAAGTTCGCCCAAGAGCGCTCCAAGAGCGGGCCAAGAGGGCACGAGGACGGCACTTTTGAGCCTCCGATGGGGGGTCAGAATTAAGGACCCACATCTTTGTTAGCGAAAGGGTCCAAGACGGCCCCAAGGGGCCCCTCAGGCATCCCAAAAGAGCCCCAAGAGGCCTCCCAGACCCCCCCAAAGAGCCCCAAGAGGGCCCCAAGACGCCCCAAAGGAGCCCCAAGAGGGCTCCAAGAAGGCCCTAAGAGGACCTCAAGACAGCCCCAAGAAAGAGCTCCAGGAGGGCCTCAAGAGGGCCCCAAGAGAACCCCAGGAGAGCCCCACGATGGCTCCAAGTTTCGAAACGCACGCGAGCTTAAGATACAAATCAGTGCAACCGCCATTACGAGTCATCGAAACACCCCTCACCCCTCATCGAAGCACCATCGTAGCTTGCACTGATTTCCATCTGAAACTTCAATGCGGGAAGCTATGTGTGATCCTTGTTTTCCCGAAGACGGCTGCGCGACTGCATGCGTCATGCCGCCCCTGATTCACCAACTCCCCTGCTGATCGTTTCTGGATGGGATGGTGGGGATACGCGAAGCGTCAAGAATTACATGATAAAGTTTCGGCTGATGACATCCGCCATCCCCTCAGAAGCTGTTCACACCTTCTCATCCGCGCCCCTCTCATCACCCTACGGCGGGCAAAATCAGGCGTGAGATCGAGGTTACATGCTGCAGAGGCTTCAGGCATCTGTCTGTGCAGCTGTGCGTGGGAGTATGTCGTAATGCGCGATGCATTCGAAGGACTACGCTTGCGAGGACACATCGCACCACCATAGCCATGCCCGGGTTCAAAGTCACGCGGTCCGCCTGCCCAACTCTCGCGACAACGCTTACCGAGTGGCCCACATTGGGTCAGCTTCCGAGGTCTTGCCTTGGCTGTGTGCTTCGCCCCCCCCACCCCACGGGATGACCCGACACGCTGTGCGACTTGCATACAGTCGGGGCGTTGACCTAAGGAACCCAAAATAAGGAACGAGGCCCCGTTTCCGATCGAAAACCTCAGGAAAGCCTGAGGCAAGCTGCGAAACACTCAAGGAACGCGGAGCCCCTCCCCAACGAAAAGGGTTCCTTACTCAGGGCCCCGACTGTACAACGCGAGCTGCCTGAAAACGAAACCCGAGCTGAACTTAGGCCGAAGACCAGCTCAGCCAAATGCACCCTGGAGATGTTGTTGCTCAGCCCCGTAGACCTACAGAGTAAGCAATTGCACATGTGTATGGGAACTTCTCCGAACCGGTCGCTCCTTTGCCTCCTCGCCCTTCCTGACTTTGGCGTCCTTCTCCTCCAGGGCCTTGCGTAGCAAAGCCGCCTGCTGCTTGGCCTCTGGGGCAATGCAGGGACGGCAACAAAAGGGAAAAGCGGACCCGAGAAAGGATAACAAGCGCCCAAAGCCTCAATGAGGGTGCCACTATGTAAGGCCATCTAGCCCCGCTACGCCGCTGTACTGACAGTACTAGCACGATGTTGCCTCACTGCCCTTGTGTGCTCACAATGGCGGCAGTCGCCACAAGTCCTGTCGAGCGTGATCAGCAATGCTGTACCGATAGGGCCTTTATTACAGCTGGCTCCGACCAATCCACGCCGGACGAACAGTCGTACCACAGTTTCGGCTGTTGTCACCGGTCAGCCCTGGCCCGCTGCGACCAGCACAGCTGCTCCCCTCTGCAAGCGCTATTCGTCGTCACCGCCACCGCCGATTCGTTCAACAAACTCTGATATGCCGACGTTGTCAGTGCTTGCCCATTGCCCGGCTGGCCCGACCAACCAACTGACCTAGGGCACTGGCAAGGGTGTCGCTGGCACACCAATACTAGTCGAGGCTAGTCAGCTGGCCAGACCCAGTGATGCTGGCTCCGACTGGCCTGGACTCTAGCGCCGGTATGCCGACCGCGCCTGTACTTGTCACGGGCCGCTGCTTGTCACTGGACAATGCGGGCGGTGCCCACACTAGCCTCGACTAGCCCCGACTCGCGCCGACCCGCCCCGACCCGCCCCGACCAGCCCTCCTCCTCCTCCTCCTCCTCCGCCTCCTCCTCCTCCTCCTCCTCCTCGCCCAAATCTTCGTCATCCTTATGCTCCTCCCCATTCGCCCCTCTCCCCACGACCGACCCGCTCCCGATCCCCACCACCAAGCGCAGTCAAAACGGAAGTGCCGCGCGGAAGCGCCGACCGCAGAACAGCGAGGGCGGAGGGCACGCACCAGGCGGAAGCCGGAGCACTCGCTCGACAGAGCCCGCCGGCACCCGACAGATCAACGATGGCGCCGCGGCGCACCGGCACGGCCAACAGGCCGGGACCCTGGGGGCACTCAGCGCGCGAGGTCCCCCCCCGACCCCCTCCTCCCTCCCCCTCCCTCGGGCCCTCTGGCCCGCAGAAGTGAGAAGGAGCGGTCTATCTGCGGATGCCACGACGGTGGGCACCCTAGCAGTCCTATCGTTGTACCTACGGTGTGTTGAACACGTCGGAAAATGCTGTAGGCCTGTTCTACACCTGCTTGTACCTATTTTGAGCATGTCTGAAACCTTTTGTAGACATCTGGAAATGATTTGGCAGCACGCTTCCTCTCCATTAATCGACTTCCGCAACGGTATGTATTTCGGCTACACGCAAGAGTGGCCCTGGGTAAGAGTGACCTGTGGTGCGCAGCTTTTGGGGGGGCCGCGGAGGGACCAAACTCAGGCGCGCAAGACGCTACCATCGCATCGCCATCGGTGATCGGGGGACCCCGTTGTGCCCGCACCAAAAGGCCACTCCGGCGAAAGGTCACTCTTGCGTGTAGTCGATGTCCCCCCAGTGGCCCCCCCCCCGTGCTGACGGCCAGCCCCCGCCGCCTAGGCGCGTGTCCCCCGACGGGCGCGGGCGGAAAGGTGCCGGCGACAGCGGGGGGCCCTGCTGGCAGCCCCGTCGAACGGGGAGCACTCGCCGCTCGGCCACCCGGGGATCGACGAGGATCCAGAGTTTTTTTTTGGGGGGGGGGAGAAGCAGGAGGGAAGCGGAGGGGGAACGAATCGGACAGAATTCACCACCACTCGCAGCGCCAGCAACTCTCGACCACATGCATTGTGTGCGAAACCCTTGCGGCGCCCAACCGCTCATAGAAAACGCAACGACAGCCGATCGCAACGCCGAGCGTAGCAGAGGACGAGGACCCAGAGCTTGGGAGTCCCGAGGCGGTGCGGTGGCAGACCGTGCGGTGACCTCGACATCCCGCAGGACCTCACCGCACGGTCCGTCAGCGCACGGTTTTTTGGGACCCCGGAGGCCCCTGTCGCCCGAGACGTCCTCGGAGAACGACCCGAGTCCCAAAACCGTGTGGTGACCCCGAACCCCCACCGACTCACCGCACGGTGTGGTCACCACACCGTTTGGGGGCCCCGAAAGAGTGAGCGAGGGATCGAGGACTTAGAAGGATCGAGGGAGACTGAGGATCAGGGAGGGTCGAGGAGCACCGAGGAGGGTCGAGGACCGAGGGGGCCCCGACGGCCCAAGAGAGCCCCAAGACGGCGCAGAGGGGGAATGATGACCACACTGGGGCTGCTACAACGATGGAGCGCCCTGAAGCGATCATGGTTAGTGTTGTGGATGCCACGACAATGGACACCCTAACAGTCCTATCATTGAATTTTAAATGTGTTTAAAATGCCGGAAATGTTCTAAACATGTTTTACTGGGCCTGCCAGACGAGCCCCAGACGGCCCGAAAGAGCTCCAAGAGGAACCCAAGACGCCCCAAGAGAGCTTCAAGAGGACTCCCAAAAGCCTCCTGAGGTGAAAACCAATTATCCCAGTGCGACCCTACCTAGGCGTTGGAGCATCTAGGAAAGCAACATCTACATCTACACCGACAGCTACATGAACATCTACACCTGCATCTGCATCTACATCAACATAAACAGCGAGACTCACATGTACATCTACATCGACACCTACATCTACACCTACATCTACATCTACATCTACATATACACCTACATCCACATCTACATCTACACCTACACCTACATCTACATTTACACTTTCGCATTGGTTTTGTGTTTGCGTTGCATGCTTTGCTATGCTATGCTATGCTATACTATGCTTGGCTATGTGATGCTATGCTATGCTATGCTATGCTGCGCTGCGCTGTGCTGCGCTGCGCTAAGCCAAGCTAAGGTATGCTAAGCTATGCTTCGCTATGATATGCTATGCTATGATATGCTGCGCTATGCTATGCTATGCTACGCTGCGCTATGCTATGCTAGGCTATGATATAATATGATATGCTGCGCTATGCTATGCTAGTATATGATATACTGTGCTATGATAGGCTATGCTATGCTGCGCTATGCTATGCTATAATATGATATGCTATGATGTGATGTGTTATGCTAAGCTATGATGCGCAGTGCTATGCTAAGCAATGATATGCTATGCTATGCTATGCTATTATGGGTTATGCTATTATCTGCAATGCTATGCTACGCTATGCTATGGCTATGCTATGCTGAGCTATGCTATTATATGTTATGATATGATATGTTATGTTATGCTATACTGTGCTAATGCTGCGCTGCGCTATGCTGCGCTGCGCTAAGCTAAGGTAAGCTAAGCTAAGGTAAGCTAAGGTAAGCTAAGCTAAGCTCAGCTAAGCTAGGCTAGGCTAAGCTAAGCTAAGCTAAGCTAAGCTACGCTAGGCTAGGCAAAGCGGGGGATCCTGGGGGAACCACAGGGCGGATCCTGGGGGAACCGCCCGGGGCGGGGAGCACTGCCCGGCCCCGTAAGCATACAGGGTAAGAACCCTTCTAGGCAGAGCCTAGGCAGGGAATAACTCTCCAGAAATCCCACCAACCTTCTGAGCGGAGGTGGTTTAGCGGATTTTCTCTTCCATCTTCCCTCTTCCCCTTCGGTAAGGCCAAGTGAGTACCCCCGCTTCTTTGATCGAGGTCCTCCAAGATGTCCCCAAGACGGCCCCCAAGGCTCCCAAGAGTGCCCCAAGAGGACCTCAGGAGGGGCCCAGGAGGCCCCAAGAGGCCTCTAAGAGGTCCCCAAGAAGCTCCCAAGAGAACCCCACATGGCCCCAAAGGGCTCCCCCGAGGCACCCAAGACGCTCCAAGAGGCACCCGTGACCGCCAAGAGACCCCCAAGACGCCCCAAGCCGACTCCGAGAATCTCTCAAGAGACATCCGACGAGACCCGAGATACATCCAAGAGACCTCTGGCCTTTCTGCTCGTCGTCCTCCTCCTCCTCCTCCTCCTCCTCCTCCTCCGCCTATTGCTCCTCATCCTCTTCCTCCTCCTCCTCCTCCTCCTCCTCCTCCTCCTCCTCCTCCTCCTCATCCCTCCTTCCTCCCTTCATCCTCCCTCCTCGCCCTCCCTCCCACTCCCCCTCCTCCTGCTCCGATTTCTCCTCCGTCCTCCCCATTTTGGGGTATGACGGTATGACAGCTTCCCCAGCCCCTTATTCCACTGCATTGTCCTCCACATCCCTGATCAGGGCAACTCGCCTGAGCATCGTTTCTGAAGGGGCTGGTGGGGCTTCGAGAATCGTAAATTGTTGAACCAATGTTGCATTCTCTTTTGTTCGGGCTCTTGAAAGCCCAAGACGGCCCAAGAGACCCCCCAGACCGGTTCAAGACGGTCCAAAAGGGCTCCAAAAGGACCCCAAGACGGCCCAAGATGGCCCAAGAGGCCCCCAAGACGGCTGAGGAGGCCCCCAAGACCGCCCAACATGCCCCAAAGAAGGCAAAGAAGGCCCCAAGAGGGGCCCAAGAATGGGAAGGCGAAGGGGTCCCAGGAGCTCTCCCCTCCAAGATGGCACCAAGACCCCTAAGATGCCCCCCATGAGCCCCGCTGGAGGTCCCCAAGGCCAACCACTAGGAGGCCTCAAAAGGCTTTCAAGAGACCTCGTGGAGGCATCCAAGAGGCCCCTAAGAAGCACCGCAACAGACTCCAGGAGGCATCCCAAAGCCTCCTCCTCCTTCTCCTGCCATCAAATGGGGTTGCAACGCTCAGACAGTACGCGTGTCAGGCGTGCCAGCGATACGAGAGAAATCACACATGGAATGATCACATAATCGTTCGCGGAAGACCACACTACAAGCACAAAGGGGAAATAAGGACGGGAGCGAGGGCTGTAGAGAAATTGAAGTGGAGATGGCAAACTCACTTGACACTTGGCATCTCAACTCCCCGTCGTCTGGAGCCTCATCAGCCCTTCGGAGGGCGTCGTCGGCCTCGGTCGAGATGTCAGCCCAGCGGGCCTCCGGCGGGAAACCCTCGCACTTCAGACAATGCGTCTCCGAAAGAGGGGCAAGTAACGTCGTCTCTTCCATGACGAACACAAGCAGCCCTTTACACTCATCTATTCGATTATGTTTGTGCATGTCTGTATATATACATACCTATGTACAGAAACACATACTAATGAAAGAGCGCGCTGACGAAGACGCGAAAAACAAAAAGGGGACACATATTCAAGCTACCCCCCTTCTCACGTGGGACTTCCGACCCCCCCCCCAGCAAACTAGGAAACTGAGGGGGGGGGGGCTTCGGAAGCCCCCCCTTCGCCTTTTGGTGACGGGGTGAGCCTGGGCTGCCCTTTGCAAGGATGAGGGGATTCGGAAGCTACCCCGCTCCCCGCTCGCTGCTGTACGGGCTGCTTCCGAAGCTCCCCCCCCCCTCCTTTTGGGTTTCGAAATGAAGTCCGGGCTTAGCTTTCCAGGGGGGGAGTACTTCCGAAGCTACCCTCCCCCTGTCCGAAGCTGCGAGTTGCCGCGAGGAGTTGCCGGGGCTGGGGGGGGCGGGGTTGGGGGGGCTTACCGAGGGTAGTCTGGGCTTACCAGTGCGGGGGAGGGGGCTTCAGAAGCTACCCCCCCTTCTTCTCTGCGTTCGAAGCTTTTGTCAAACTGCCGGACGTTGCTGCTGTTCTGGTCGTCGTTATCTTCGTCGTCCTCGTCCTTGTCGTCGTCGTCGTCGTCGTCGTTGTAGTCGTAGTCGTTGTTGTTGCCGTCCTCGTCCACATCGTGGTCGTCGCATTATTAGGCTTCGTTGTCGTCGTCGCCGTCGTCTGGGTGGGTTCGTAGTCGTTATCGTCTTCGTCATCCTCATACTCGTCGTTGTCGGAGGTCACCTTCGTCGTCGCCGCCGTCGGCAGGCGCGCGAGCAGGCGTGCGGGCGCGGGCGGGCGGGCGCGCGGGCAGTGGGGCGTCCGTGTCGTCGTCGTCGCCGCCGTCGTCGTCGTCGTCGTCGTCGTCGTCGTCGATGTCGTCGTCATCATCGTCGTCGTCGTTGTCGTTGTGGTCGTTGTCGTCGTTGTCGTCGTCGTCCGTCGTCCGACGTCGTCGTCGTCGTCGTCATCGACGTCGTTGACGCCACCGTCGTCGTAGTCGTAGTCGTAGTCGTGGACGTAGTCGTCGTAGTCGTCGTCGTCGTCGTCGTCGTCGTCGTCGTCGTCGTCGTCGTCGTCGTCGTCGTCGTCGTCGTCGTCGTCGTCTGTGTTGTCGTGGTCGTCGCCGGCGCCGCCGCCGCCGCCGTCGCCGTCGTCGTCGTCGTCGGCGTCGTCGTCCTTGTCCGCGGTGTAGCCGCGTGCCGAAAACATGTTGGTATCCGCCTCCGCAGCGCTGCCGCGTCAACTGCGATGGAAGTCTGCTCTCTCTGTGCGGTGCTGCCACGCGGCTGGCGAGGTCGTATGGCATCTTGTGATCTGGCCTGCCGCTGCCACGCTGCGCAAGGAATGGCGCTCGAATTTTGTTCCAGCCCGCGGCCTTGCCACGCGGCGGAGAGACTGGGATGTGCACGTTCGCCCCCCCGGGCGCTACCACGTGGCGAGCAGAGTGAGATCTGTACCTGTGCGGCCCGCGCGGCAGTGCCACGTGATGAGCGGAGTGGAGTTCTACTTCTCGTTCGCCCCCCGAGTCGTTGCCACGTGGCGAGTGGAGTGGGACAGTATTTGGTTTGCCCGGCCGTGCCAAGTGGCGTTGCCATGTGGCGAGTAAAATGGAGTAGCACGTCGTTGCCATGTGCCGGGTAGAAGGGAGTATTTGTGTTTGGCCCCGCAGGCACTGCCACGTGGCGAGCACAGTGGAGTAGTATTTGCTTCCCCCTCCAAGCGTTGCCACGTGGCGAAGAGTAAACTAGTATTTGTTTCGCTCCTCTGGCGCTGCCACGTGGCGAGTCGAGTGCAATACTATTTGTTCAGCCCCGCATGCGTTGCCACGTGGCGAGTGGTAGAGTGGAATGGTTTTTGTTTCGCTCCCCAGCCGCTGCCACGTGGCACTTCGAATGAAATTCGCCGGCCCAACGGGCCAGAGGCGTGCTAAGATCTCCGGTAACTGGTTAACAATATTCTACTTCGCGCGCGCGGGGCGGCCCCTGGGGATCTTCGGGCGAAAAGTACCCCGGCAAGGTCCTGGCAAGGTCCGGGTCAGAGATGCCGGACCAGGCAATTTTTCGACACCCCTCACGAGGATCGTGGCCTCCGAGGGGGGAGCCGCAATCGACTGCCCCCCCTCCCGCTCCAAGAGACCCCCAAGAGCCCCCCAGGAGGCCCTGGGGGCCCCCAAGACGCCGCCAAGGAGCCCCAAGAGGCTCCCAAGAGGTCCCCAAGAGGCCCCCAAAGAGGCCCTAGAGAGGGCTCCAGGGCCCCGACGGAATGAGCGAAGCGATTGAATAATATTGTTTCCCGCCCCCCACGTGGCGAGAAATAGTGGAATCATTTTGATTTCCGCCCTGCAGGCGTTGCCGCGTGCCGAGTAGAAGGACGAGGCAGGAGGGAGGAGGCTGGAGCGAGAAGGGGGGGGGGGGTGAGGGAGGAGGCAGGAGGAAGGAGGGAGGAGGGAACAGGACGAGGAGGAGAGAGGAGGGAGGAAGGAGGCAGGAGGGGAAAGGAAGACGACGATTTCTTCCGAAACGAACTCTTCCGAGACGACTTTTTCCGGAAGAACTTTCTTCCAGAAGAAGTTGACTGGAAGAAATCCCCTGGAATAAGTCGCCCGGCAGAAATTGTTTCGGAAGAAGCTGTTTCTGGAAGAAATCTCCCGGAATAAGTCCCCTCGGAATAACTAGCCTGCGGAAGAAGTCGATCCCAGGATGCTCCTAGGGTTTCATTTGTCGAAGAAGCTCTGTCGAGGATGATGTAAAGGAGAGACGACGACGTTTGTCAACCGGCAATGATCGGTTGAAGCGGCTTCAAGGACATGACTTGGAGGACATCGTTCGGAAGAAGTCGCTCGGAAGAAGTCCCTCGGAAGAAGTACTCGCGGAGGGAGGTCGGAGGAGGGGGAGAGGGCGGGATAAAATATCTGTTAGCAGGGACGAGGAGGCAGGATGAGCCAGGGGGCAGGTGGAGGAGGCTGCTGGACGCAGGAGGATGGAGGGCGAGGCGGACGGAGGCAGGAGCTCCGCGAGGGCAGCGGAGAGGGGAGCAGGGCGGCACCAAGACTCCACGCGTGGACTCCCTGGGCCTAACTCGGGCCCCGGGCAGCGCGTCGGCGAGCGGTGTGCTCTCCATCGGATCCCTCTCGGCGTGATCCGTCTGTGGCTTCTGCAGTCTTCGACACTTCGTTTTGGGGGCCGTGTTCGTTGCCTGCCGGCCCGCCGCTGCCCTGCTGCGAGATGGAGTGGCGGTGCATTCGTGCCCGCCCCGCGGCGCTGTCGCGTGGCGACTCGAACGGAACACAGTCGGGGCGTTGACCCAAGGAACCCTGCATAAGGAACGAGGCCCCTTTCTCCCATAAGGTGAACTTCGATTTTCCGTAGAAAGCCTAGGGAAACCCGAGGCAAACTGTGAAACAATCAAGGAACACCGAGCACCTCCCCAATGAAAAGGGTTCCTTCTTCAGCGCCCCGACTGTAGTTATTTGTCTTCGCCGCCCTGGCGCTGCCACGTGGCGAGCAGAATGAAATGTTGCACGTGTCCGGTCCGCGCGGCGTCGCCACGCGAGAGGCAGAGCGAAGGCGTAACTCGTTGTTCGCTCCCCATGCCATTGCCACGTGGCGAGTGGAGTGGGATACAGTCGGGGCGTTGACCTAAGGAACCCTAAATAAGGGACGAGGCCCCTTTTTTCCACAGGTTAAACTTCGATTTCCCATGGAAATCCTCAGGACAACCTGAGGCAAGCTGTGAAACCATCAAGGAACACCGAGCCCCTCCCCAACGAAAAGGGTTCCTTCTTCAGCGCCCCGACTGTAGTATTCCTGCTTGCCTCTCAGGCCTTGCCTCGTGGCGGCCACTTGGCGAGCAGCAGCGCGTGTGCCCGACCCGCTTCGCTGCCACGCGCTAAGAAGAGGCGCTGCCGCGCAGCGAATACAGTGCAGGAGTATACGTGTTCCCCCTTCCGCGCGCTGCCGCGGGGCAAGGAATCTTGGAGGGAGGGTGGATTCCAACATCGTTGATGCCTCTTGGGCTTGCACTGGTCCTCCTCCTCCTCCTCCTCCTCCTCCTCCTTGCCCCCCTCCTCGCCCCCCTCCCTTGGCGTTGCCACGTGGCGCGCGGGCGGGCGGGCGCGCGCGCGGGCGGGCGGGCGCGTGGGCGGGCAGGCGCGCGGGCGCTGGCTCCGCAGGCTCTGCCGCGTGGCGAATGCAATGGAGTGGGGTCTGTTTCCCCCCCCCCCCGAGCGTTGCCACGCGGCGAGGAGATTGGAGCAGTATGTGCTTCGCTCCCTCAACATTGTCACGGAGCGAACCGGGTGAAACAATACTTTTTCCGCGCAGCAGGCGATGCCACACGGCGAGTCGTGGAGAGGAGCAGCTTGTGCTTCGTCGCTTCCACCTGGCAATTCGTGTGGAATCGTATGCTTGGTCCGTCCCGCAGGCGTTGCCACGTCGCGAGGGGAGTGGAGTAGCACATTTGTTCGCCACCAGGCGTTTGCCACGTGGCGAGTACAGCGGAATAGTTTCAATTCCGCCCCGCAGGCGGTGCCGCGTGCCGAGTCGAGGACGAGGGGGGAGGGAGGAGGAGGGAGGAACGAGGAGGGAGGGGGAGGGGGAGTAGGGAGGAGGCAGGAGAGAGGGGGGCGGTAGGAGCAGGAGGACGAGAAGGAGGAGGAGGAGGAGGAGGTATGAAGGAGAGCGGAGGGAGGTGGCGAGAGGGAGGAGAGTGGAGAAGGGAGAGGAGGCAAGAAGAGGCAGGAGAAGGAGAGAGGAGGGAGGGAAGGATTGTAGGAGCGAACTGACAACTGTTCCGCACAGCAATGGCGAGTCGTGAAGTGTAGTAGTTTCTGTTTCGCTTGCCATTCGCTGCCACCTGACAGTTCGAGTGGGATAGCAATGCTTTCCGTCCCGCGGGCGTTGCCACTTCGCGAGGGGAGTGGAATAGCATAGATGTCGCCCCACCCCCAGAAGTTTGCCACGCGGCAAGTAAAGCGAGATAGTTTCAACTTCCGCCCCGCAAGCGCTACTGCGTGACCAATGTAAACCCATACCTCATCAACGATGTTAGGATACACTCCCTTCCAAGCTCTCTCTTCATAGGCCCCAAAAGTTCACTTCCACTGAAAGAAATGCCCAGTTGGGAGATACCCGTGATTATCCTGAGGCGCGCCAAACCACCATTCACAGGACTTCAATGCCACGGCCAACCTGACTGTTGCGTTTCGGCGATCCTGAATCGTGCCATCACACCATCCCAGGGACTTCAACACCGCGAATCAACGTAATTGTTGCGCCTTGACAGCCCTGAATCGTTCGAAAACACAATAACTGGAAGATTAACCGGGAGACCCCGCGAAACTCATACAAGTTGCCCCAACCCTCCTCTGGTGTTGGGTCATCGCTTTGAAGAGACTGTGCCCCGCGTTCCTCATCCTTCTCGCTCTCCTCCTCCTTCTTCTCCTTCTCCTCCTCCTCCTCATCCTCCTCCTCCTCCTCCTCCTCCCTCCTCGCCCCTCCTCCCCCTCCCCACCCAGTACAGCGTTTCGTGGCTCGTTAGCGAGCTCCACTGACGGCTCCAGTAGCTGTGGCCACATGTGTCCCCGCACCCATTTCGGCACACCCCTGACACGCTTCCTGGCCCCATAGGGAGCTCCACCGAAGGCCCCAGTGGCGCAGCCCGCACGCGTCCCCGCCACCCATGTCGGCACACCCCTCACACGTTCCGTGGCCCCATAAGAAGCTCCACCGAACGCCCCAATGGCTGCATGCGCCCCCGCCACCTGTGCCGGCACACCCCTCACACGCTTCGTGGCCTCATAAGGAGCTCCACCGAAGGCTCCAGAGGCTGTGACCAAATGCGTCCCCGCCACCTGTGTCGGCACACCCCTCACACGTTACACGTTTCGTGGCCCCACAGGGAGCTCCACCGAAGGCCCCAGTGGCTGCATGCGTCCGCGCCACCAATTTCGGCACACCCCTCACACGTTTCGTGGTCCCATAAGGAGCTCCACCGAAGACCACAATGTCTGTGACCACATGCGTCCCCGCCCCCCATTTCGGCGCACCCCTCACACGTCTTTTGGCCTCATAGGAAGCTCCACCGAAGGCCTCAGTGGTTGTGACCACATGCGCCCCGCCATCCATTTCGGCACACCATTCACACGCTTCGTGGCCCCATAGGGAGCTCCACCGAAGGCATCAGAGGCTGTGGCCACATGCGTCCCCGCCACAAATTCCAGCACACCCCTGACACCCTTCCCCTCCCGTTTCCCGAGCTTTTCCTCTTTCTCTTTTGCTGTTTTCCTTTAAGTACCCCCTCCCTGTTTCCCTCCCCTTTGGCCCTCCCTTTCCCCCCCAGTTTCCCTCAATTTCCCTTTCATGTTCCTAACCTGTTTCCAAACTTTTTTCCCCGTCCTTTTTCCTCCCTGTTTCCCTACCTTTGTTCTCCCTGTTCCCTCCCTTTTGCCTTCAATGTTCATCACTGTCCCTCCCTTTTCCCTGCCTTTCGCTCACTTTTCCCTCCCCGTTCCCTCCCTTCCCCTCCCTTATCCGTCCCTTTTCCTACCGTTTCCCTCCCTTTACATCTCCTGTCCTTCGCTTTTCCCTCCCGTTTCCCTCCCTTTTCCTCCCGTTTCCCTTTCTTTTCCTCCTCTGTCCTTCGCGTTTCCCTCCCCTTTCCGTCCCTTTCCCTTTTTCCCTCCCTTTTCCTTTCGATTCTCTGCAGTCTCTTTTGCAATCCTCCTTTCTCGGTTTTTCTCCTGGCCGAGTGAAGGGCTGGCGCGGCCCAGTGGAAGCAATTAACTCCAGAGTGAAACGGTTTTGCGGCCCGGTGGAAACACCACTCACAGAGTGACTTAATTCTGGAGGTAAGGCGTCTTCAAGCTGGCAACAATACGAAAGGAAATAATGACTTCACTCCGGAGCTAAGTGGTAATAACCGTGCTGGTTTCAATGATGTTCCCCCCGCACCGCAAGCCGTCATCAGCCAAGCGGGCGTAAGTATTAACAGTGTCGTTCACGCCTCCTCCAGAGACGACGCGCGCCAAAGCTGCGACGGAGGGAGGGACCAAACGACGATGAACCAAACCAGATCGATGCACACTCTCGCGCGTACCGGCACGCGTGGTTGCACGTCTACGCCACGTGTATGTATGTATGTATGTATGTATGTATGCATGCATGCATGCATGCATGCATGCATGCATGCATGCATGCATGCATGCATGAATGCATGCATGCATGCATGTATGTATGTATGTATGTATGTATGTATGTATGCATATATGTATGTACATGTATACATATATACGCGACTGCACTGGCGCTTCGCGCCATGCACCTTGGTCCTTGAAGTTTTGCATGCAAGCGGAATGGCAGGAAGGTCAAGCAAACACTTTAGCGATAACCCATTGTTTTATTTTTCCGGCATCGCCGTTATAATAATGTGATTCGTCATCCTGGCTCCATGATTCTTTTACATGATTATTGCCCTACCCTGCGAATTCTTCCCCATCCTCCTCAGCTCTTTTTGCGGAGGCTCCTCCTTGGAGAGCCTATGGGGGCATCACGAAAATTGTTCAGGCTCCCTTAAGCCTTCCTGGGGCTTCCTCGGGCCACCCTGCCTCCAACCGCGGTCTCCCTGAACGACCGGGTGACGATTTGGAATGCTTCGGAGGGCGTCTTGGGGCCGTTTTGGGCCGTCATGGGGCTCTCTTAGGCCATCTTGGAGATCTGTTGTGCCGCCTTGGGGCTCTCCTGGACTGCCTGGAAACCATTTCGGATGGTTCTTGGGCGATTTTTGAGCCTCCCAGGCGCTCGGACGCCCAGAAGACAGAAGAACAGTAAAAACTTTGAAAATCATGCAAAAATCATGCAAAATCAAGCACTCGGACGCCCCGAAGACAGAAGACTTCCCAAAATCATGCGAAAATCGTGGAAAATCAATGTTTTTTGAGTTTTAGGGCCTCTTGGGGGTCGTCTTCGTGTCGTCCTCGGGCGTCTGGTAGGTGTCAGGGGCCTCTTGGGGCCCTCGAGGGGGCGTTCGGCCGCCCTTCTTGGGGCAGTGCAAAGGGGGGTCACCACTAGGGGGGTCGCCACTTCCTCGAGGAAACGCCACTTCCTCGAAACTTGGTCGAGAACTGGGCCCCCCAGAGCCCCGAAAAAGCAAAGAAACGTCCAAGAACATCCTCGACCCCTCGACTCTCCATCCTGGAACCTCGATTTCCAGGAGAAGCTGGCGACCCCCCCAGTGGTGACCCCCCTTGGCACTGCCTGACTTCTGACCGATTTGGGCCCGCTGCCGAGGCCCAGTAAGGGCTTCAAGGAGCTCTGAAACGCCCGGGGGGCCTCCTGCAGGGGCGTCCAGGGGGTCCCCGGGGCCACGGCTCTGGGAGGTCCGGGGGGTCCCGGGGATTCGGGGGGGTCGATTTCGGGAGGGGGTCGTGGGCAATAAAAGCAAATGAATGGGAATATACGTGTGTATATATACATACAAACAAACAAACATCCATACCTACCTACCTACCTACCTACCTACCTACCTACCTACCTACATACATACATGCATACATACATACATACATACATACATACATACATAGTTCTCTCTCTCTCTCTATATATATATTTATATATGTATATATTTATTATAATTATATATATATATATATATATATATATATATATATATAATATGCAGGGCAGTTTTTGATATACAGGATCCTTAAAAATATAGGATGTGTAATATAGGATGTGTAATACATTATTAATGTATGGATAGATTTATGCATGAACCCATCGTTGTTTTTTAATACTAAGTCCCTGCATTTTAATACATGATCCGCACGCGGAGAATGTATTGAAAACGGCACTGTACATGTGCGACCGATTCCAGAAGCCCTGAACCCAAAACCATGTCCATCTCTTCGGGCCCATCTTCTACTTCCGCGGGCTTCCGCAGGCCTTCCGCCGCCTTCCGCCGGCGGAGGCGGCCTCGTTGTACGTACGCCGACCTTCCGCCGCCGTCCGCCGAGGAAGAGATGCCAATCCGTTCGATCCTCAAAGACGAGGCCCTCTCTGGAACGCCTCATACAGATAGATAGATAGATAGATAGATATATATATATATATATAGATATAGATAGATAGATAGATAGATAGACATATATAGATATAGATAGATAGATATATAGATAGATAGATAGATAGATAGATAGATAGATAGATAGATAGATATATAGATAGATAGGTATACACATATATATAGAGAGAGATATAGATAGCTAGACATATATATATATATGTATATATGTAGATATATCGATTGATATATATATATACAGATATATAGATAGTTATACATATAGATATTACACAACCGTCACCCTCCGACGAATGTTGCATGTGCCTGCAGGGAGGGCGGCTGTTTACAAAGCCGCTGGCAGACAACGGTGATTTCTGCACCGCCATCCTCCCTCTTGAGGCCCAAGTGGAGCGTGCCTGTGTAACTATATACTCTTCTGGCGGATCGTACCCACTTGCTCGGGCACGCGGCTGGCGCCGCCCAGCGCGGTGAGGGAAGCTGCCCGGCCCGCCTCCAGCTCCGCGCTCCTCGCGCGGAGGTCCTCCAGCCGCCCCTGCGTGGCACGGCGGTGGTGGGCCAGCTCCCGGGCCTCGACCTGGAGGGCTGCTGCGAAAAGGGCCCACCAAGATTCTTGGTGGGCTCTTCTCGAAATTCGAGCTATGAATTCCTGAAACTTCGGAATTCGGACCATGAATCTCCGAAATCTGACCTACGAGTTCCCGAGTGTCGTCTGCCACAGGAAACAGCGATTCGTGGCACACCCGAGCGCACCAACACAAGAAGCTCGGGAGCGGCCAAGAGGGGGGTGTCCAAGAGGGGGGGTGCAAACCATGACCGGCGGCACGTGCGCGGCCCAGCGGGGGGGCCAGGGACGTCACGAAACAAGAAGAGGCGCCAGGAAATCCGGGGAGATGTCGCGGCCCCCGCCATGACATCCCCCCCCCCCTAGCCATCACCCCCCTCTCTGCCGCCCCCGAAGAGCAGGAAGCGCACCCCGGGCGCCTCGCCTCGCCGGCCGCGCCCCCGCGGTGCGCGGCGCGCGGGGCGCCCTCTTCGCGCCCCCGCGCCCGGCGCGCCCTGGAGAAGGGCGCCCCGCCGGCCCAGGCCGCCGTGGCTCGAGGCGCGCAACGAAGCCGACGACGACGACGACGACGACGACGACGACGACGACGACGACGACGACGACGACGACGACGACGACGACCACGTCGACGACGACGACGACCCTGCCGGCGCGGGCGCGGCCTCTCGACGGCAAGCCTTCGCGCCTCGGCCTCGCCGAGGCCGCCGGGGACACGCGCCTCGCGAGCGCCGCGGCTGCCAACGTCTTGGGCCGCGGTGTTATCATTGGCCCCGCGCCAGGCGCTACCCTGCTGGGCCTTCTGCGGATATACAGAGGCGACATGTCTACGTCAGACAGCCTTCACTGCACCGACGAGGCAATCGGCTGCTGGGCGCCGCTCTTTCCTCCTCGTCCTCCTCCTCCTCCTCCTCCTCCTCCTCCTCCTCCTCCTCGTCCTCCTCCTCCTCCTCCTCCTCCTCCTCCTCATTATCCCTCCCCTTTCCTCCTCTCCCCTCTTCTCGTCCGTCGCGCAGGAAGCACTCTGGGGAGCGAGAGCCCGATGGGGTCTATGTGCTGGAACTCTGCTGGAAACCTCCTGGGCACAAAGGGGTGGCGAAAGTTGCGCTCGTGACAGCATCCAGAGGGGCAAAGATCATGATGAGGTCTGCGTGGGACGGCCGTCTGTTGAACCCCGACGGCGCAGGAGCATCGCGAGAGTTGCATTCTTGGGAGTATTCATGGACAGCGAGGCAACAAGTTGTTTGGGTCCACCTGAAACGGCACTCCGTCGGATCCCGAGGGCACTGGAAAGTGATGACAGCTGGTCGTTTAGCAGCATCTTGGGGGGAGAGGGTACGTGACAGACCTTTGGGCGTCGGTGGGAGTCGCCGCGAGGTATTAAAGTATCCAAGATGGCCCACTATGGCCCTAGATAATCCAAGATGGCCTCCAAGATGGCGCACCTTAGCCCAAGATGGCTCACTGTAACCTCTCACATGCCTACGCTGAGCTCTGGGACCGCCCGAAAACGGCTCCAAGTGGCCACGGATCTTCCCAAGGACACCACCGAGAGGCCCGAATTCTTCCCAAACCATGAAGCAACGTCAACGAGTTGTCTTCTCACGTCAGGATGGGGGGCCCTAAGAAAGCCACAGAGGCTTCCAAAATGACCCCATGGTGGTTCCAAGAGGCTACCCGACGTCTCTGATTCTACGATATTCCACGATTGTTGGCCGCTGTGCTTCACTATGTGCTTACCTACGCCTCTCCTCTAGACAACTCCCCTGGGCATCGTTTCTGGACGGGTTTGCGGGGATATTTTTGTTGGGGGGAAAAGGAAGAGGCCACTACGCCGAGCCAGCGCTAGAGTGACAGGTTTGCGGGGATACGCGAACCGTCAAGAATTTGGGCCTGCGTGAGACGGGCACCCGGCTGGGCCCCCCAGCCGAACAGGAAGTTTACCAAGGGTGTATATGTGGTTCCCCGAGCAGCGCTTGCACTGGAAGGAGGATTTGGCGGAAATGGGCGGCCGCTTTCGGTAGCCCGCTGGGTTCCCGGGCTCTCTGCTCCGGGTTCCCAGGTTCCCTGTTCCATTCCTGTTCCCGGGTGCCCGGTTCCGCGTTCCCGATCGCCGGGTTCACGGGTTCCCGGTTCTGGGCTCGGTCGATCGAAAGAGTGAGATCGATCTCACAATCGATCCCACTCGCCATCGCTCGGACGTCCATTCCCTGTGTTTTTTTCGATTTCGTGCGTGGTTTTTCCGCCAAATGATCAAGGATGCTCCTCGATGGCCCTCGCCGAAAGAAAAAAGCACACGTCCGAGCGATGCCAAGTCTCACTACCGATCGCACTATGGAACTCACTGCCGACCTCACGGTCGTTCTCATCCTCGCACCAAATCTTCAAACCATCCACTGATTGGGGTTTTCTCTTGTGTAGTACGGTAGAGGGAAACAATTAGTGAGCACCCCCCCTGCACCCCAAACTCAAGGTTGGCACGCGCGGGGGAGACTGCGGTCGAGGTGCAACTCATCAGACCCACCGCCAACTTTGAACATTGGGGGGAGGGGGAGGCGTTCACAGATGAATGTGGCATGAGTGTTCGCTATTTTTTTCCGAGGCCTGTAGCACCCATGGGAGAACATGTAATAGTTTGGGTCCACGTAAGCGGTGTGCTCCGTTGGGCCCCCAGGGGCACAGGACCGTGGTGACGATTGTGCTTGTGGCAGCTCCCAACGGGCAGGGAGCATCACTTCGGGTCCGTGCGAGCGGCGCCCCTGCTGTAAACCCTCCGGACCGCAGGGCAGCGGCGACAGCTGTGCGCTTGGAAGCGATTATGGGAGAGAGCGCATTGTTTTGGGTCAGCGTGAGGTGGCGGTCTGCTGCTGCACCCACCACGAGCGCAGGACAACTGCGGCTATGTGTTTGGCAGCGCGCTCGGAGCGAGCATAAGAAGATGAGTCCTTTCAGACAGGCGCTCAGCCAGACCCCAGTTGGGGGGTCAGGCTGTGGCGACGGCTGTGTGTGCGGCAGCACCCAAGGGAGCGTCTTGAGAGAAGCGGTGCTCCGCTGGATCCCTCAGGTGCGCAGGACGCCGCGGAAAAGAATTGAACATCGCCAAAAAGCACGACCGGAACTCTAGAGCCCATCTTTCTGCGTGATTGTTCGAGCCCGATCGATCTGTGAGGGTCCTGGGGCCCGAAACCTGGCGAAACGCCCGTCGTCAAAAAACTACAACGCAGGGG